TGGGGCATGCAGGGGGGTAGCTCCAGCTTCAGCTCCCCCACCTCTCCAGAATTCTCTTGAAGCCAAGTTCAGCCCGAGGTGGGTGGGGAAGGTCAGAGTAGGAAGCAAAGCTGATGCAGGGGAGAGGCAACCCATGAGGAAGGTACCAGGGGCAACAGGAGATCCTGCTTAGCCAACATCTGAGGGTCAGGCCACACCCCATGCTGCCATCCCATCTCCCTTCTCTTGTTTTCTGAGCTCCTGTATCTCCCTGCAGCCTCCCAAGCTCAGACCCTGTTGCCCTCTGTGTGTCCATACAGGGAAACAGTGTCCTAGCGACACCAACACATTTCCACAGGGCTGAGTTACAGCCATGACAATGGTCCTGACCAGCCCCCCTTGCAGAAGGCCTAACTTGTGTCAACTCCTTCAACCTTCCTGACAGGGTGGGTGTTATTGTCCCATCTCCCAGACAAGAACACGGGGTGGCAGAGGAAGTACCTGAGTTTTTGAGAGGTGCCATCACAAGCTAACACAATCTGAGGACGGAACACCACAGAAATTTACTCTTTCACAGCTCTGGAGGTCAGAGGTCTGAGACCAAGGTTCAATAAAGCCCTGTTCTTTCTGGAAGGTTCTTTGGGAGAATCTGTTCCATGTCTTTCTCTTAGCTTCAGGTGTTCCTGGCAATCCTTGTCATTCTTTGGCTTGCAACTATGTAACTCCAATCTCCACCTCTGTTGTCACCTAGCCTTCACCCCCATGTGACTTTCTCTGTGTCTGTCTTGTAATGACCCTAGGCATATTGGACTAAGGGCCCATCCTATCCAGCATGACCTCGTTTTAACTAATTATATACACAGCAAACTTATTGCCAAATAAGGTCACATTCTGAGGTACATATCTTTTGGGGGAACAGTGCAGCACATGACAGGAAGTGACTCATCCAAGCTCGCACAGGGGTGCAATCAGAACCTCAGGCTCGAATTCTGAATCATGGTTGAGTAGCCTCTCATTCCCCAAAGGCCCTGGAATCAACCACCCCTGCACTTCAACGCATCAGATGCTAGCTCATGGCCACTTCTGCGTCCAGCAGGCCACTGTCACATGGCTGCAGGTGCCACTGATGCTGCCCCCAAAGGCAGCTCGTGCAGTTGTTGGGTGGGTTTCTCTCCTGTTCCTCTTTGCCCACTTCCCCTAGAGGAGCCTGGGAGGCCAGGGTAGTTTAGGATGGGGAGAGGGACAAGCCCCTTGGTGGCATGGAGAGTCCTAAGTGGGGAGGAAGGGGAAGACCCTTCCTTACAGCACACCTGTAGAGAAGCTGCAGCACCAGCTTCTGTCCAAGGTCAGGAAGGGTCCCAGCCTCCCCTTCTTGTGCCTGCAGGCCTAGGTCCCTTCCTCCTCCAAAGAGGGCCCCTGTGCCAGGGCTGACTTACCTGAGCCCACAGGAACCTCCTGACAGCTGAAAGGGCTTTCCAGAGATCGTGTCTTTCCTTCCTTTCTTTTCCTGGAATGGAAGGTCATGGCCAAGAATTTGCCCCTGTGTATGGGAGGGATGAAGGGGAGCGGCTGTGGCCTCAGAGGACACCTGGGGTTGAAGGGAGGCTCTGCACTGGGCAGACAGTTTGTCTCTGCTCCCAGGCAGGAGATGGGGGGTCTAGAGAGGCAGCAGCAAGGAGGGAAGGGAAAAATCAGAGACCACAGATGTCACTAAAAGTTCTTCTGAGTCCCCTCCACATCCTTCCTGCACCCTGGACAGATAACCCCCCGCAAAAAATATGAAGAAGCAAAGAGGAAATGGGACAAGAGGAGATGGGGAGGCCCCTGCTATGCACCTCTCTGAGCCACATTCCTTCCCTGTATCTGGAAATAACTACAGGAAGTGCTGGTGGCCACTGCCCACAGGCCCCTCAAAAATGTTGCTCCTCAGAGCTGGAGGTATGGCTTAAGTGGTAGAGCACTTGTCTAGCAAGCACAGAGCCCTGAGTTCAAATCCCACTACCACCAAAAAATTGTTGCTTCTTGAGCCAGACAAAGTGGTGCCCACCTGTAGTCTCAGGAGACTGAGGCAGGCAGATTGGTTGAGTCAGGAGTTTGAGGCCAGCCTGGGCAGTATAGTAGAATGCATTTATTTCTTCTTCTTCTTTTTAAATTACATAAAAAATATCACTTCTCTTTCTCTGACCCAAATTCATGGAGAAGGGTGGCCCCAGACCTGGACAACTCAATGTGGGCATGAGAGAGGAGGCAGCCTAGTAGAGCCCAGAACCACAGCCACTCTTCTGCTTCTTCACTGAGCCTGGCATGCATGGACAGAAGACTGGTTAAGGGCTCCCCTGGCACAGGGCCACATTCAGCAAGGCCCTGCACTTGGTTTAATGCCTTGCTACTATCCCTTTCTTGGAGTTCTTAATAACTGTTGAACAAGAATCTCTGCATTTTTATTTTGCACTAGGACCCCTCCAAATTATGCAGCCTGTCTGCCTACCAGACATGTCTGTTGTAGCCACGTGTCACAGGTGACATTAGATAATGTTGCATTTTCTCCCAACACTTCAAGGGTTCCCAAAAGCCTGGTCTCATACACATTTGGGTCAACTCTCAGGCATGTGAAATTGCTCTGTGCAAATTTTTAGGGATAAGGAACTTCACAGCAGATGTGTCCTCCCACACACATACTCAGCAGTCCCCACCACATCACTCCAGGAGGCAGGCGTTGGCTGGTCATTCGGACCTCTGGCTAAGCTGACCTCCACTGGACACTGAAATACCATCTCCTGTCTCCTGCCACAACCTTGATTCCTGACCAAGAAATTATTTATTTCTTCCAGGACCCCACCTACTTTTCCAAGGGAAGTAAGGGAAGAAGCTGTATTGGCCCAAATGCCTCCCGTCCTGTCCTCTTTTCCTAGTCACTCCAGGGAAGGGGCTGACTGTGGGGAATTGCATGGATTCTGACAGTGCATGGAGTCCCTCACTGGGGAGAGTTCTGGGGCTAACTGCTGGTGCCCACTTACCTAGAATGTTGGAGACTGAGCCCTTTACAACAGGCAAGAACCCCACTCAGCATCCTGCAACACAGAAATGATTGCTCTGGAGAAAGTGCAAGTGGCTTATGTGATGGAGACTGAGTGGAGCCACAGGGACAGTGGCCAGAAGTCCTCTTCATCACGTCCCAATGGGGGAAGCAGACACGCACTGCTACAGAAGACGTGCATGCATAAATAACAATGAATAAAATGATTTCATGAGCCATGGATTTAGATATGGTTCTCAAGAGGTGACCTGAGGTACTGCTGAAATTGATCTAGACTTAGGAATAGAGCATATGCAGGGGAGAAAACAGGGCTAGTGATCCAGACTTGGGACCAGGAAGTGGGTAAAGGAGCCAGAGAGCAAGCAGGTCAGGGTTTGAGCAGAATTGCAATACACACCATAAAGGCCCTTATCTTTCTTTGGCAGTGGGTGGGTTCTTACCTGAGTTGGGGCAGAAAGGGACAGAAACTAGAGACTGCAGCTCCTGGTCCTGACACCTCCCACCTCCACCCTGAAGAGTGTTTTGACAGAATGGAGGCAGGCAGGGCAGGAGGCTCTGTGCTCACTGGCACTAGCTTGGCCCCAAAGGCTTTGGTGAGATCCAAGCAGCTGAGGGACTCCGGAGCTGAAGGCATAAAAGCAGACTGTGTTGACCTCAGACTCTCTCAGCCAAGAATTTGGAGCTCAAGGATAAAAAGATACCCTGCAAGACAGATAGGTAATCTAGTGAATATGAGTAATTTCTAGGGTCATAAAATTCACACTCACAACTATCTGCACACAGTATTGCCCTGACATTCCTGGATTCTGGGTCACACGTTTCTATAAGTGGAACAGTAGCTGGGGAGGGGAGAAGGGGCAAATACAGTGATGTTGATCAGCAGGGCCTAGAGAGGATGGTTTATAGCATGTCCTGATTCCTCAAATACTCCCACCTAAGTGGCCTAAGTGGGCTCACCAGCACGAATTGGGGGTCAGGGCATTTTTCTGGCCCCAGGATTTTCTGAAGGGCAGAAGGGCATCACCCTGCCCCAGGTGGTGACTTGATTCCAGGACAGCTGCTCATTTGTGGCCCTTCCTGAGAGACTCCCTCCTGCCAGATCAGCGTCACAGAAATGGAGAACAATGCTGGATAGGCCGAGTAGGCAGGGACGGGGGTCTGGGAGAGCGTCACAAGCTGCTGGGGCCTGTTCTCCCTGAACTGGGCCACTGTGGGGCCTTTCATCTCCTGCCTTTCTCTCTGGGCCATCTCTGGGCCACTCCAGGGTCTGCCTCCCTTTGCCTCTTCCCATCCCACTACTCCCAGTGCGGCAATTACGGCGCTAATTAGGATGCTTTGATCAACTTTAGAAATGGCCACATTGGGGAGGGACACTGCCAAGCAATTAGGGGCAGAAGGGCTGGGAGCTCAGTAGCTTCCTTGGGGGGTGGGGTTGCCAAGGACCCCCAGACACCCCCCTGCCCTTCTCCCTCCAATAGTGTCTGCCCCCAGCATGGCTGTAAACTCCCCAGGGGGCATAGACAGCTGGAGATCCCCCCTCCCAGCTCCTGCCCACCAGCCCCCCTTTGCCTGGCCCCTAGCCCAACTGTCATCTCGTCTTCCCTGTCTCAGCCCCTTTGATGGAGCCGCAGAAACAAGGCCTCCTTTGACAGAAGGGGGGCTCAGAGCTGGGATGATGAAACTTCAAAGGTAAGGGTCAAACCCACTACCTCATTCCCTCCGCCAGTCCTGGCTGCCCTCCAGGGTACCCCCCCTTCTGTTCTCTATATAGCCCCCGCAACCCTGTTCCCCTGAGGGCTCCTAGGAGGTGAGGGCCAGGTGAGGTGTAGACCATGGGACGTGGGTAATTTTGATGAAAGAACAACAAAAATTCTGTGTCCAGGGACAGAAAGGCAGTGGGAGGCAGACACCAAAGTATAAGTGCGGTGAGAGTGGGCCCCAGCAGGAAAGAAGACAGGGTCTCCTGTCCCAGCTCCCGGTCACCATGCTGCTGGCTGTGCTGCTGCTGCTGCTGCTACTTCCCCTCCCAGACCTCTGGACTGCCAATGGGCACCCACTGTACATGCGTCTGCCCCCCAGCACCCTGCAAGGTGAGCCGGGTTGGCCTGAGGAAGCACCTGAGGTGGGAGGGGCACAAAGGAACTTGCTGAGGAAGATAAGCATAGCACCCCAATCATAAGGACCTTTGGGCCCTTCTGCCCACCTGCTGGGACATGAGGCCAGGAACTGAGTGTAGGAAGGAGAGGAGGGGCAGGCAGACTGGCATGGGAAGCAGAATCTGCAACATTGCCATGGGGCTCTTAGAGAAGGCTCCAGACTTAGCAGGGAGGAAAGAGCCCAGGCAGCATGCCTTGGAGATCTGGACCCAAAGGTGGACACCTCAACCGTGGTTGTGTTGTGTCAACAGGCCCAAGTTCTGGGATGTCTATATTTGGGGCAGTATTTTTCCTCCCATGTTTTTAAGGAAAGACACTTTTCAGAGATCTCAACCCAGTTCAGTTGAATTAGTGAGCTATCTTCAGCTCAAAATCTGGGACCATTTGCTCTGAAGGTTGGGTCTTGGGCCCTGGAGCGCTCTGTCTTCTGATCCCCTACTCCCTGGTGCTCTGGGATCACAGCACCTTCCCCCAAGGCAGGGCTTGGGGCTGGGGTAGGCAGACTAGACTGAAGCCCCCTCCCCAACCAAGCATGATTTGTGTCCCATGTCCCAGCAGTTCTGTCGACCCAGGGGACGCAGGCGTTGCAGGCTGCCCAGCGGAGTGCCCACTGGGCAGTAAAGCGCGTGGCAATGGAGATCCAGCACAGGCTGCACGAATGCCGAGGTTGTGCCAACAGTGCACCCCTTCCTTGCCCCAGTGAACTCGCACTCATTACCGGGGACTCATTCTCCTGACCACCTCACCCTTTCCCTTCAGATCTCACACCCATTTTGGGGGCAGAGACTGGGTGGGATTGCAACCAAGACACTGCTTATGAAGGTTTCTCCAGGTGGAGACCCATGCCAGGGTTGGGGCACTGCATGAGCAAAGGCAGGGAGGTGGGAACAGTCTGGACTCATGTGTGAACGGTTGCTGAAACAGAATCTATGTGCTAAGGTGGTGAGATACAAGGGAAGTGGCTGGGGAAAGAGGGTTCTCAGATCCAGCCTAGGACGGCGGACCAGCAAAAAGATAGCAGTGAGGATCAAAGGGCTCTTTCTCAGCAGGACCCCGACGTCCCAAACCTCAAGCCCCCTTCCTCCAGGACCTCCCTGAGCCAGGTGAGGCTAAAAAAGCTCAAGGGGGCAGGTCTGAGAGCAGGGTGGGCCTCGATGTGAGGACAGCTACAACTTGTCCCTCGTGACGCTGCTTCTGTCATTCTAGGGCCATGTGGTGAGAGGCGCCTAGGTGCTGCCAACATGACCCGGGCACATGGCCGTATAGTAGGGGGCAGCGCGGCTCCTCCAGGGGCCTGGCCCTGGCTAGTGAGGTTGCAAATCGGCGGGCAGACTCTGTGCGGCGGCGTCCTGGTGGCGGCGTCCTGGGTGCTCACCGCTGCACACTGCTTTGTGGGGTATGTTTGACCCCCCAGGTACCTGCCTGACCCGGGGGTTGTCAAAGCCAAGTCCAGCACCTGCCTGGCGACGCTCGAGAGAGCTGGTCTCTGCTTCCCCCTGGCGGAGGCCCGCTTCGGATCGCAAGCATCAAAGCGCCGGTGCGGGCGAGGCCAGGGTGCAGAGCCCAGTGCGGAAGGGCACATGGCGCCGCGCATATGCCCACTCCCAGGCGCGCCCCTCTCTCTGTAGGCCTCGAGCGACTCCGCTTGCAGGCTTGCTGGGTAGTGCGGCCGTACTGAGGGGAAGGGACTCCAGGGGGCCTCGCTGCGCCCCAGTCTGTCCCTCCTGCGTTATCACCCACTGCTCCCTCTGCAGCGCTTCGAATGAGCTTCTGTGGACTGTGATGCTGGCCGAAGGGCCCCAGGGGGAGCCAGGGGAGGAGGTGCCGGTGAACCGCATTTTGCCCCACCCCAAGGTGAGAGGCCAGGCCCCGGGCTCTCTGATCTGGGAACAGCACCCCAACCCAGTGTCTCCTTGACTTTGTGCTCCCACACCCAACCCAGTTTGACCCGAAGACCTTCCACAATGACCTCGCCCTGGTACAGCTGTGGACGCCTGTGAGCGCAGCGAGTCCGGCTCGCCCTGTGTGCCTGCCCCAGGGGCCCCGGGAGCCCCCCGCTGGCACCCCCTGCGCCATCGCGGGCTGGGGGGCACTCTTTGAAGGTAGAGTCGTGTCAGGGTCTGGGTGAGCCTCAGGTGTGTGAGGAAAAAATGGGGGTGGGGTGGGGCTGAGGAGATGGAGTTTGGGGAGGCTGGAGTGTAAGGAACACAGCAAAAGGCTACCCGATCGATCTTACTAGGAGGCAGGAATCAGGGAAAGTACTGGGAGGGGGCCCTTAAAGCGGGGTTCCTGCCCTCCAGACCTGATCCTTTCCACTCTTCCCTATAGACGGACCTGAGGCTGAGGCGGTGAGGGAGGCCCGCGTTCCCCTGCTCAGTGCGGACACCTGCCAAAGGGCCCTGGGGCCCGGGCTGCGCCCCAGCACCATGCTCTGCGCTGGTTACCTGGCCGGAGGCATCGACTCATGCCAGGTATGAGCCGAGACTGATCACAGGGCTCTGATTGGGCTGCTCTCCTTGGCAGGACAACTGGGTACGAGTCCATAGAAGAGCTCAGAGCTGTCCTACCTAACCACGTGTAAGGCGGGAATAAAGATGAATTCTTCTCTCTCTCTCTTTCTCCTCTGCCCCTCGCAGGGTGACTCTGGAGGCCCCCTAACCTGTTCCGAGGCTGGCTCCCGCCCCAGGGAGGTCCTCTTCGGAGTCACCTCTTGGGGGGATGGCTGCGGGGAGCCAGGGAAGCCCGGGGTCTACACCCGCGTGGCCGTGTTCAAAGACTGGCTCAAGGAGCAAATGAGCGGTGAGCGCCCCTTTCTAATGGCCCCCTTCCTAGCGTGTCCCGCAGACAGCCCTAGAAGAAGCCGATTCCACCCCGGTGCGCCGGTCCCTAGCTCCTTTCAGCGTTGAGAAAACCTTTCCCATCCAGGGAGAGGGTATGGGGTCCCAAGCAGTGAGCTGGTCGCTGCCCCGCCCGCAGCGGCCCCCTCCACTCGCGAGCCAAGCTGCAGGGAACTTCTGTCCTGGGACCCGTCCGAGGAGCCGCCAGTGGACGCCACCGGGCTCTGCGCCTTCTACGCCCGCCTGTGTCCTGGGTCCGAGGGCGACTGTGCGCGCCTGGCGCACCAGCAGTGCCTACAGCGCCGGCGACGGTGCGGTCAGTCCGGTTAGCTCCCGCAGGGGAAGGACGGGGAGCCTGGCCCACCTCTGACGGCCGTTCACACCCCTGTCCCACCCGTAGAGCTGCGCTCGCTTGCTCACACGCTTCTGGGTCTGCTGCGGGGCGCCCAGGAAGTACTTGGCTCCCGTCCGGGGCTACGGCGCCTGGCCCCCGCCCTGAGTGCGTCACTCCAGGAGCCTCCGGTGCACCCCGCCCGGGAGCAGAGGCTGTATTCAGGTATCCCGCACCCTCCGGCCCGGCCCAGGCCCAGGCCCAGGCCCCGCGCTCCACCCCTATGCCTCGGAGCCGCGTTCTCCTGCTGCCCAGGGGTGTCCCTAACCCAAGGTCTCCCCAGGATCGCGGGCTGCAGAAACGTGGTTCCAGAAGCCGAGACCAGAGCAGCGCGGGGAGACGAAGGGTAATCACGCCCCCTGGCGACCTTCTGGAAGAGAGCAGCTAAGGGGGCTGACTTAGGCCTGGAGAAGCTTCTGGGTCCAGGGTTCTTCTGTGCTGCTAAGCAGTTCCCTACCGGCATCAGGGCAGGGCCTCTGTCCTTCCCGGAGAGCAGATGACTGGCTCTTTAGGAGGACTTGTGGCTTTGAGCCCTCGTCAGCGTTAAACAGAGGGCCTCTGCCTTGTGTGATCACTTCCCACCTGTAGCATGCAGAAGATATCTGCCCTGGGAGGTCCACCCCTAGCTCCTGGCCGCTGTTAGTTCTCTGTTATTCCAGGTCCTCTCCCTTTCCTGCAGGATGCCCTGGGCTGGAGCACCTGCGACAGAGGTTGGCTACCCTTCAGGGGACCCATGCCTGGATCCTGCAAGTCCCCACAGAGCACCTGGCTATGAACTTTCAGGAGGTATGTCCCCAGGCTTCTTAGACTCCTTGGGAAGGCTGACCAGTTAGGAGTGGGGTGCAGACAAGGCGCACAGGGTCCAGCCCTGATGGATGGGGGAGAAGGTTCAAGGGAATTGAGTGGAGAGGGCTGCTGTGTATCACTGGGTGGATGTGAAGGGGGAGGTGGAGAGATATGAGTGGAAGGGCTCATGGGGGTATCCAAGTGAGCAGGAATTAGCAGGGTTGTGGAAGGAAGGAAGGTGGTCATGGATCTAAGTGAGAATTTCCAGGAGGGTGGTCCAGAATTTCCATTCAGAAGTGAGTTTCTGGGTTCATGAATCCCTCTTTCTACAGGTGCTGGCAGATCTGGGCTCTAAGACACTGACTGGACTCTTCAGAGCCTGGGTACAGGCAAGCTTGGGAGGCCGGAATGTGGTCTTCAGCTGCCTGGTGGGCCTGGAGCCCACCACACTGGCTCACAGCCTCCCCCGACTGCTGGTGCAGGCCCTGCAGGCTTTCCGGTTGGCTGTCCTGGCAGAGGAAGAGCCATAGGAACTCTAGATGGGTGTGAGGCAGAGCCCTGGGCTGGGGAGGAAGGAACATCACCCACTCACCCTTCATGCTCTCCCAGCCAGGCAGCCACAGTGAGGACCTACTGCCCCCAGGGGCTAAGGGGATTCAGGAGCATTTGACAACCCCTCACTGCCCCAGTTGTCTGGGTATGTGTGGGTGGGATGGGGGTCCTTCCCAGGTATGTGATCAGTGAATCACAGCTGCTTTAATAAATGTTATTTATAATACACGGAGACAATCTGAAGCTTTCTTGGGAAGGGAACCAGTGAGTGGAGATTAGATTGGCAGGGGGGTGGTAGAGGCAGGGACCAGTCTCCAGAAGCAGTTGGCAGAGGTCATAAAGCAGCTGGGTGAAGGTTGCTAGGCCCCCTCTGAGCATATCCTCTGACTTCTAAGTGACAGCAGGTGATGCCTGTCACCACCCTTATTCATGCCTGACCAGCACTGCCCTCCTTGTCTCCACCAGCCCCCACTCACTCCACTAGCCTGGGATCCCAGCCTGGGATCTCTGCCTCCTGTCCTTGGGCTCCTGCCCAGGCTAGCCAGTCCCCACCCCCTCATCACCTGCCTTGAGATATCAGATTGCATTTCCGGCTGCTTCTTCCCTTTGCCCCTCAACCCCACCCTGCACCTGTCCCTTCTCCCACCCACCCTCATTCCACAGCCCTGCAGACAGGAGGGGCAGACAGAAGACCTGGTCAGAGGGGCAGGATGGAGAGGCCCGTGCTGACACTGGGGCTGCTGGCCACCCTGGTTGTGTGTGGTAAGGGTGGACATCACTCCCTCCCTGGAGGCCTCTCTTGTGCCCATCTGGACCCTCCCCCTCCACCCCTCGACTGCATGGCCCCTTCCTGGGATGAGGCCCAATTCCTCACTCCTCCTTTGCCATGTCTGGTCTTCAGGGTCCCACTCTCAGGGAGTGGTTGACTTCCCTTGCTCAGTCCAGTCCCAGGTCTGGCCCAGGAGGGTCTTGGGACAGCTTCCTTGCTGGGTCTAATGCCCAGTGCCCCGTTCCCATCCCCAACCTCCCCAGGCAGCTGGGGCCTGAATGAGGAGGAGAGGCTGATACGGCACCTGTTCAAGGAGAAGGCCTACAACAAGGAGCTCCGGCCAGTGGCCCGCAAGGAGGACAGTGTGGATGTCTCGCTGGCCCTTACCCTCTCCAACCTCATCTCCCTGGTGAGAGATCCTTCCTGGGCTGGGCTGAGGAGGGAGGGCAGGGATGGCTTCTCCAGCGCAGCCTGTGTGGTAGGTCCCTTCCAGGGATGTGCTCCCCACTCTATTCTCGGTGAAGCCAGCCCTCAGGCCTCCAGCCACCCAAGGCTGGTGCCCCTCAAGTCCAGCATCAGCTCTGGGTGTGTCCCTCACACCACACCCACAACATACCTCACCCACCATGCATCTCAGCAGCTATCTGCACTCTGCTCCTTAGTCTGCCCACCTACCCCAGCTGCCAGTGCTGGAGCCCAACGGCCATGGCTCCCCTGGCACTGGCATCATTAGGAGCCTGTGAATCATTAGGAGCCTGTAAGGGTGAAAGAATTATGCGGGCCTTGGAGGGACATCCCTCCTGTCTGATTACAGAAAGAAGTTGAGGAGACCCTCACCACCAACGTGTGGATGGAGCACGTAAGGAGAACGCCTCACTGAGGTCCCTGCTTGGATACTGTCGTCCAGGAAGGCCTGTCTCCTAAGTCCCAGCTGCCCTGCTCTCCACCTACTCCCCTGCTGGTTCTGATGCACTTTCATGAGGGTTAGGGTTGCTCTGTGGGAAATTGTTACTCTATCCTGATTTTTATTAGAAATCACTCTTGTAGCAGTGTTAGTACACTCACAAAATCATAATACAGACAAATCTTCTGCCCACACTGGAAATAGCACTGCCTTAGTTGTACAATGTGTGTCTCACACAGTTGTCCATAACAGACCTGAGACCCCACTCTTAACTGTCTCCCCCAAGCCTCTTTGTTACAGCTCCCAGGCCCTGTTTAGTCTTCCCCTAGGGAAGTGAAGGCAGTGTGGGAGGGTGGACAGCAGCAGAACCCACCTCTGACACGCCTTTTGGGTTTCCAGGGCTGGACCGACAGCCGGCTACAGTGGAATGCCAGTGAATTTGGGAACATCAGTGTTCTGCGCCTGCCTCCTGACATGGTGTGGCTCCCAGAGATTGTACTGGAGAACAAGTTGAGTGGAGCCCTTCCTGACCTCCTTCCATCACCCACTCCAGCCACAAGTTCCAGCCTGCCCTTCCTTCCCTGCCTCCCCAGTCCCACCAGTGCTGGCCAGTGCTCCCAGTGATCCTTGTCCTGTTCCACAGCAATGATGGCTCCTTCCAGATTTCCTACTCCTGCAATGTGCTCGTCTATGACTCAGGCTACGTGTACTGGCTGCCACCCACCATCTTCCGCTCCTCCTGCCCCATCTCTGTTACATACTTCCCCTTCGACTGGCAGAACTGCTCTCTCAAGTTCAGGTGCGCCCATTTCTCAAGTCCCCTCTGTCCCAGCACTTGCCAGAGGCTGATGGAGTAGATGAAGAGCCCTCAAACAGAGGCTGCCGGCATGATCAGAGCTCCTTCCCCACCATGGCCCTCCTTTACTAGCCTTTCCCTCTTTGTAGCCCCAGCCAGGAGCTGAATGTCACCCTCTCCCTACTCTCCTCCCCAGTTCACTCAAGTACACGGCCAAAGAGATCACCCTGAGCCTGAAGCAAGAGGTTGAAAATGAACAAGCCTACCCTGTAGAATGGATTATCATTGACCCTGAAGGCTTCACAGGTGCTTGGAGTAGCCTCGAAGGGTGGGAATGTGGGGGCAAGGTCCCTCAGACACACACACAGCAATGGATATGCAGTCACACTGACTCCTTGAGCACACACAGCTAGGACACCTACACATTTGATAGATGCATCCCATCCATAGAGAAAAGACCCCAAAGGCAGAGCTGCTTCTGGGGTTCCAGGGGTCCAAGGGTAAATTGTGGCTGACACAGGAGGTCTGGTTGGCTTTTCCTGTGCCTAGAGAACCCAAGGGTATGGACTGTGTCATTGATGGATATATGTTATCCTCAGCCCTATCTGTGACCACCCTCAGATCTATGGGGTTCACTGCCTATTCCTGTTCAACAGAAGAGACTCCCCCCATCATCTGGCTGGTTTCAAGACGAGATGTCATGGGGGGAGCATAACTCTCATGGGTTCATTCTCCCTGAGACCCAGACAGAAGAGATAACACCAAGTCATGTCAACTGAACTTCAGTTTTTCACTTAGGAAGACAGGCTCAAAGACTGAGGGTATTTTCTTGGTTTTAACTTTCTCTTTAATCTGTGTGTGATCTATTTTTGGCTCAGGGTATCTTTTGAGCCAAAACACACTCCTTATTTGAACCCTGTATGGCCTCAGCTTCTATTTTTTCCAAGGAGAAAAAAAAAAATCAGCTACAGAGGAAAACTTCCCCCTCACAGACCGAACTTGCCAGCCAACCCCCAGAGACAGACATCCACAACAAAGCCTGACACTCCCTGCATGCTTCACCTCCTGGCTGGGCCTCTTGCAGACAGACATGGCCATGTCACACCCCGGGCCTTCATCCTGTCCTGAGGCCCTTTAACCTCCTGGAATCTTTGTGCCTAGTTTGATTCTAAGCTGTCCATGTGCCATCCTCAGAGAACGGGGAGTGGGAGATAGTGCACCGGCCAGCCAGGGTCAACATGGACCCCAGTGCCCCAGTAGACAGTACCAGCCACCAGGATGTCACCTTCTACCTCATCATCCGTCGCAAGCCACTCTTCTACATCATCAACATCCTGGTGCCCTGCGTGCTCATCTCCTTCATGGTCAACCTGGTCTTCTACCTGCCGGCTGACAGTGAGCCTCATGCCCTGTCCCGCTCCCAGCTCCCCAGGAGCCTCGCCACCTGGGCACAGGCGCTCTAACCCTGCCCCTTGCTTCCCCTGGGGGCTAAATAGGGATGACATCTCCTGAAACTTCCTGCTTGGGGCAGGCCTGCTGGCATCCCCAGAAGACAGAGCAGGGTCCTTCCCTGGATGCTACTGCTGCCTTTCAGAAGGTGCATCCTAGGAACCCTAGGGAGAATGTCTGGATGGTCCTGCTATCAGAGCAGAGAATGGGCTGGTCATGCTTAACTGCAGTGGAATGGTAAGCCTGGCACCCAGTAGGCCATCAGCTGCTGACCCCAGCTAGTGGATAATGAGTCCCTAGGAAGCTGGGGGACACAGAACCCAATCTGGATATTTATTATGAATGGGGCACAATGAATACCCTGGACAAAGGCCACCTGGCCCCTGCCATGGCAGACAGCATGGAAACCACAGGACTAGAAGGGTGGAGGTGGGGATTCTACCAGCAGTGGAGGTGGAGAGGGTCTTGGAGGAGGAGGCAGTGCTTGAGGCCCACCTGGAGCATGGGTGGGGCTTTACCAGATAGCACAGGTTAAGTAAGCAGTGATCATGATAGGGCCAGGGCAGAGCAGATGGGACCCTTGTGTGCAGGCGGGAAGAGCAGGCTGCACTGGGTTAGGGTGTATGCAGGAAGGGCTGCATGTTGGGGTGCTATCATGCTCCTAAGAGTAGGCCCTGGATCTTTCTGAGCAGGAGTCCATATGTAGACCTGTACTTTGTTTCTTTCTTTTTTTTTTTTTTTTTGGCAGTACTGGAGTTTGAACTCAGGGCCCCATGCTTGCTAGGCAGGCACTCTTCCACTTGAGCCATCACTCCACCAGTGCAGATCTGTACTTCAGAAGGATGGTGGCGTGGCCATGGGGGTGGGTAAATGCTAACAGCTAGTTTTGTTGAGCACTTATCCAGCGCCAGGCAGAGTGAAGTCTGTTTAACACACACAATCTCACATTAAACAGTTGAGAAACCAGGCACAGAGAAGTTAGGCTGCTTGTCGAGGTCATTCAGCTAGTAACAGAGCTGGAATTTGAACCCAGGCACCTCCAACATCATAGCCTATGATATTTACCAGGACGCCATGGCATTGTGAACAATGGCGGCTAGAGCTACCTTAGGGGGCTCCTGTGGTCTCCAGGTTTGGGTTTCCAGCTAGGTCTGACTCCCCAGGTGGTGAGAAGACGTCCATGGCTATCTCAGTGCTCCTGGCCCAGTCAGTCTTCCTGCTGCTCATCTCCAAGCGCCTGCCTGCCACATCCATGGCCATTCCACTCATTGGCAAGTGAGTGCAGCTCACCCATGCCCAGCCCTGCCCTGCACACCCTTCAGTCCTGGGGGCCCAGGCTTAGCATATACCCACAGGTTCCTGCTCTTTGGCATGGTGCTGGTCACCATGGTCGTGGTGATCTGTGTCATCGTGCTCAACATCCACTTCCGAACACCCAGCACACACGTGCTGTCCGAGGGGGTCAAGAAGGTGAGCTCTGCCAATAGCCAAAAGCGGCAAACTGGGAGGCCCTGCCAAGAGAGGGGGGTCAGGGTGTTGAGTGTGCCCAGTGGGGGACACCCCTCAGCTGTGCAGAAGCACCAGCCGCTGAGGGAAGTAACCTAAGTGTGTATCAGTAGGGGATCAGGGAAATCGATGAGAGGGTCAGACTGGGGAGCAGTATATGGCAGCCAGGAGTGGATTATATGCATTTGACTGTGTAAAGGTTTTTCCACATTTGTAACATGGCCTTCTTGGTGTCTCCTTGGCTGCCAAAGCTCTTCCTAGAGACTCTGCCCGAGCTCCTGCACATGTCCCGTCCAGCAGAGGGAGGCCCTGGCCCAGAGGCTTTGATTCGGAGGAGCAGCTCCCTGGGCTACATCTCCAAGGCAGAGGAGTACTTCTCACTCAAGTCCCGCAGTGATCTTATGTTCGAGAAGCAGTCAGAGCGGCATGGGCTGGCCCCGCGCCTCGCCACCGCACGTGGGTCCTGGGTAGCCTTAGGGCTTGGCCCATCTGGGGGAGGTGACCGGGACACATATCACCTTCTCTGGCCTTTGTCCATAGGCCGGCCCCCAGCAAGCTCTGAACAGGCCCAGCAGGAACTCTTCAGTGAGCTGAAGCCGGCTGTGGATGGAGCAAACTTTATCGTTAACCACATGAGGGACCAAAATAATTACAATGAGGTGAGCAGTCACAGGATTGTCTGTACACAGATACATAGGTAGTACACTGACAAAGTGTCTCTCCTCACAAACACATGTCAACATAGATAGGGAGTTCAAGATGGTTGCAGATTCCTGGGAAGGAGTATTTCCGCATGGACACCCATACTGCACCCTGGGCCAGGCACACACCCTGCCAGGCCACAGTCCACGCATCCCTTTGGGTCTCCTCTTTCTATTTGCTACCAGTTATTTCTGCCCAAGTGTAAGGCAGATGCTCCAGACAAAGCCAGACATTGAAAAGGTAGCTGTATTTGGTTGTCCACTCTTATACCACTTTTTACAATTCTCCCTTGAGAAAGGGACACCTTTTCCACATCACACAAGGCTGTCAGCAGCTCTGAGTATCTCAGAGGACTGAGAGAGAAGCGCCACCTATCCTCAACACCCTAGAACCCTGCAGCAAAGCAGGGCAGGTATTCATGGCTCTGATCTCTCCTCTTCAATAAGCACAATGGCCAGCCCTACCTGTGACCACCGGGGCCTGGGCTCCTTGCTGGGGACAATGCCAGTTTCTCCCCACTCATCCTGTCCGCTGACAACTTGAGGTAGCCCCACAGACACACTGCTGACCCTGGCTTGGTGTAGGGGGGCTGCAGTCTGAGGAACACCCTCACCCCATGGTCCCCCAACTTCCAGGAGAAGGACAGCTGGAACCAGGTGGCTCGAACAGTGGACCGCCTCTGCCTGTTTGTGGTGACGCCTGTCATGGTGGTGGGCACGGCCTGGATCTTCTTGCAGGGTGTCTACAACCAGCCCCCACCTCAGCCTTTCCCTGGAGACCCCTTCTCCTACAAAGAGCAGGACAGGCGCTTCATCTAGGGTAGGCCGGTGGAGACAGCCAGGCTAATAACAGGACTGAGAGAGGAAGACCAGCTCCTGACCCTTAGTTTGTGCCCAGCTGCTCCTACAAGGCTGGGGCCAAAACCAAGGCAGAAGCGAGTCCTTTGCAAAGAAGCCCAAGATGGGCTTAGCTGGTGGGGGGGTGTCAGAGGATTTGGGGAGAGGCAGAGGATCTGGGGAGGGGCTTGCTCAGACAAGGACACTGTTCCAGCTGGTCTCCTGCGGAGAGATTTGTGAGGGATAGCACAAGTGGAGTCTCCTTTCTGCCTTCCCCTCCCCCCAGGTGGGGTAGAGCAGGCAGGAATCTAAGCTTTCTGGATCTTCACTCCTCACCTCGCCTCTACCCTAGTACCTCCTCCTCCACCCCAGAGTAGGGTTGCATGGAGATATTTGGGACATACTTACACTAAATGATTGTTTATGTATATCTAAAATTCACACTTAACTGGGCATCCTATATTTTTATTTGCTAATCTGGCAACCCAACCCCCAAAGGAGCCCGTACTCAGTCCTATCCCTCGGGTCCTATCCCAAGGGCCAAAGACTGAGGTCAAAGGAGCTGGGAGACATGGGTCTGTAGGTGACCCACCTCCAAGATGATCCAGCAGTCCCCTCTTCCTGCATTCACACCCTGGTGTAGTCCTTGCCACACTGTCCCCAGTTGGTCTGTGTGACCAGCAGAATGAAGCAGAATTGAGGGTATATCACTTTTAAGATTAGGTTCCAGGACACAGAGTCTCCTGTCTTGCTGTCACATCAATCGTCAATCACTCTCACTTTGGGAAGCCAGCTGGGATACTGAAGCCACATGGCAAGGAACTGAGGCTTTCTGCCAATGGCCATGCAGGTGAACTTGAACATGGATCTTCCTGCCCCCTCCAGACAAGGTCAAAGCCCCGGAAAGTCCCAAAGCCCAGACCACCCAGTTCAGCTGCTAATGGGTTCTGGGCTCTCGGGAATTATGTGAGATAATAAATGGTTGTTTCAGGCCCCAGAGTTTGGGCGATTTGTTTCACCAGCAGTGTGTCTCTTGGCTTCTGTTTTCTCATCTGCACAGTGTGCAGATAATCGTCCTGCTCACAGGGTATTCATCCAGTGAACATTGAATGTGTGAGTGGTGGTAAAGGGGCTGAGGGATGCAGGGGTGGTTCAACATACGAAAATCAATAAATGTAATAAACCACATTAACAGAAGCAAAGACAAAAACCACTTGATCATCTCAATAGATGTAAAGGGACTGACCTGTGCCCTGTAAATGTAAGAGGTGGTTACTTAGCACACTCCTCATTTGTGGGCCTGGTTTATGGAAGATGGGTCTCTGGGGTCCCCAGGAAGAGCTTGTGCACAGGCTTCCTCCTTCCAACCCTGGCATGGTGATGGAGAGAGGATGGGAACAGGGTACAGTGACCCACTTACTCACCTCCTTGTTGTACACTTAAGTCTTCACAGCTCAAGCCATTTCCTTCAGAAAGAAGTAGTGACCTCATTAGCTCTGATAGACAGCAGGTGGATTTTTAATTTTTAGGTGTAATAGGAAAAAGAAAACCCATTTAAAACCAAAGTTGATCCTAGTGACTTTTCTTTCCAGGATGAATTGTCCAAATCTTCAATTTTCCCCTCAGAACAGGAAGATCAGTTTGGTTTCACACAGCAGCAGCAGCAGCTCAGGAAATCCAGGACGTCCCTGGAATCCAGCAATTCATACAGAGACAGGGGTGGGGGGCACCTGGGACCCTCTACCAGGTTCGTTGCTTTTCTCTCCGTCACATGGGTGGCTGTTGGTAGTGGATCTTAGTCCAACTCAGGTGCCTGTGGATCTTCCAGAGAAAATGATCCCCAAATGCCACATCCAACCAAGGGTGCCTCTGAGCAGGCTCTTGGGGTCAAAGCAATTTCCATCATTTGCACAATGGGGTACTGTCATGGGATTCTATCTTCTTTCTGCCAGGAAGTTGCACTCACAGGGCAGCTTACCAGAAGACCAAAAGGTGTCCCCCTATTCTTCCGGCCAGCAGGGCCACCCACACTCTCACTGGGAGGCAAATCAGTTAAGAATATGCTGGGCTTCAAGAACAGACAACCCAATGTCATAGCCACCCTTTAACAAGGCTTCCCCTTTCTCACACAGTAAGACACAAGAGGCAGCAGTGGCCAAACTGGCTCAGCTGTCTAACATTGCTTTCAGGGACATAGGCTCTTGTCTGTCCCTGCCGGGCCCCACCTCCACAGCACACTGGCTTTGTTCCTCATGCTTGTTGCTTCAGGGTGTGAGCTGGCTGCCACAGCTGTATGTATCTATGTTCTGGCAGGAAAGGGGCAAGTCATTTCTGACCTGTTTTATCAGGAAGCAAAGCTCTCCCATGGGATGAAGGCCCCTAGCATCCCATTGATCAAAATGTCACATGGCTACCTCTATCTGTAAGGGAGCCTGGAAAATAAATACAGTCAGGCCTCCACATCTGTGAGTTCAGTCAGCCACAGATTGAAAATATCTGGGAGAAAACACTCTGTCTGTTCTGAACATGTGCAGACTTTTTTTTGGTCATTATTCCCTAAACAATCCAGCACAATTATTTGCATCGCACTTGTACTGCAGTAGGTATTATAAGTCATCAAGGGATGGTCTGGGTTGTATAGGATTATGTAGATTACATGCAAGTGTTACATTTTAGATTCAGGAGCATTGGTGGATTTTGATAACTGTGGGTGTCCTGAAACCCAATTCCCTGTGGATACCAAGTGGTGGCTCTGTTTAGCTTTCCTAGCTTCTATTATAGGAGGTAGCAAAGGAGAAGTAGTTGCTTCCCCATGAGTGATGTCCTAAGATGATTTTCTCTTAGTGAGTCCTATCCTTCTACTCTTGCCTCAGCCAGGAACCTCCACCCCTCACAGGTGACTCACCCTGCTGAGAATACCAAGCAGACTTCATAGCCCAGAGCAGAGAGGGAGGAAACAGGAGTTGAATCTTCACAGAAGGGAGAAGGCACGATTCATGCCAGAGGGGAAAGCAATCTTCATGCTCTCCCTTTTCCCTCCCAGACACTTGTGGGGAAGGAAAGGGTCAGTGAGAGCTGTGACAACATCAGCTCAGCCCCCTGCGCCAGGCTGAGGTGCGGCCAGGCCCCATTGATCTCACTGCTTCCTGACGTCGAGGTCTATAGCTTGTGGGCTTAGAGGCAAGTAAAGAGGTGGGGATACTGCTCTGCCATTTTGGTGAGGGAATTGAGTCTGGGGGCACCAGGGGAGCAACGTGGGGAGGCAAGGAGCCTTGGAGGTGGGGAGGAGCTGCTGGCTTTGGAAACTCCAGGAAAGGAAGTCTCACAGATAGAGCTTAGTGAGAGCAAAGATGTGGGAGGAAACAGTGGGGCCCACAGCAGGCCTGACCTCAAGAATTGGCACACAAGCCATTCACAAGGTAACTCAGTGGAAGAGGAGTTGACACCAGAAATGACTGGGGAAGACAGGTGCTGCCATCACCATCCCCCAACCTCCCCTTACAGAGTCCTGGCAGCACAGGAGGGACCTGAGGCCCTGCAGGGGGCTAGATTTTGAGCCTGAGTTCCTACTGAAATCCCATAGACACTGCCTACTGGGTACAGGGGGTGCTTTCTTCTGGCACTCAGCAGCCTCCACTGTCCTGTCCCCCAAGATGCAGTGTGGTAGCACTTATGAGTTCCTGAGTTTTTATTCTTGCTCATGTATGAGACACATTGACCTGTCTGCTTAGAATAGTCACAAGGCAGGTGGCCTGAGTGTGTCCACATCTAGCAGTGAGGCCTTGCTCCCAGGTCATTCTCAGTTCCACCCTTGGCTGGCCACAAATCACAAAGTAGAGGGGGCTCATTCTCTAGTCCCTCCTTCCCCTCTGGATCCCCCTTATCTGACTCTGGGCTATGGGGTGGGGGGGACACAGACTCAACTTTTATCTGCCTGTCCTTGTGGATCATGGGTTTCCACAAGCAGCTTGGGCACACATCCCTGGGTGTCCCCAGCCTAGTGATATGCCTGCCACATTCTGGGGCCTCCGTCATTGCTGGATGATTTAATAAACTGCAGTCCCCTCTGCCGAGGAGCCCCTATGCTTGCCCAACAGCTCCACACCTCCAGAGTGAACAGGATGAGGGGGCCAAATTGGTCCCTGCCATAGTCTCCTCAGCACCCACCTTCTCTCCCACACCTATCTGTCTCTGACTGTATGCTGAGTCCCCCAGTTGGAAAGAAATAGGCCTGGGGCAGGGGCAGCTAAGTTGGAGCATGAGGATAAAAAGGGTGGGCGTTTTTTTTGGGAACACAACAGGGCCCCTCTCCCCCTGACTGGTGCAGGTAATCTGAGCCCAGCATTGTGCATATTCTGGGACAGCTGATGATGCTGTGGTCAGACAGCTGGTGAGGCTGGGCCAGGCTGGCTGGGGTGGGAGTGGAGGCTGTCACATGACACCGTAGCCCATCTCTCTCTGCCTTGGATCTGGGGAGCTGCCATCCCACCCCTGTCACTGGAAAGAGCTGAGGCATCATGTATGGGGGCCAGAGGCCACTGCTTCTCCTGCTGCTGCTGGCTGTCTACCTGGGTGTGACACAGGGGAATTGGGGATGGAGGGAGCAGAGGGGTCTCAGGGGACAGAGGTCCTGGAGGGCTATTGGGTTTGCCCTAGTCCTGGCATTCTGAGTCTGCACTTGCTCCTCTGTTTCTCCCTGCTCCTCCATGGCAAGGCTCTACTGTCCCCTGCAGGGGCCCAGGGCCGAAACCAGGAAGAGCGCCTGCTTGCAGATCTGATGAGTAGCTACGACCCCCACCTGCGACCAGCAGAACGAGACTCGGACGTGGTCAACGTCAGTCTGAAGCTGACCCTCACCAACCTCATCTCCCTGGTGAGCAACAGGAGGGAGAAGGGGCCTGCTGAGAAGAGGAAGACCCACACTCAGCACCCAGGACGGAAAAGGGCCCCACAGGAGGAGGCATGGGATAAGAAACCTTCCACGATGTGGGGCACTGCTTGAGGCTGGGGTCTCCTGGTCCCATAAATGGCCAGTGGGGACTAGTACCTGGGGCAGAGGAAGACATAGGGCTTAGTCCTTTCTTCTGCACCTCCAGAACGAACGAGAGGAGGCCCTCACCACTAACGTCTGGATAGAGATGGTAAGAGGGCACTCTGCCACTCTCCTTTGCCTATCAGGGCCCATGGTCTGTGGCCCTGGTCTCCTGAGAGCTGCCAGGGCCTCCCTGCCTCTTCAGGACTCCTGGCTTGACGTCCATTCAGGCCACTGTGCAGTTCAGGGCAGAGGCCTGGTAAGTGCCCCTCCCCCCCACAGCAGTGGTGTGACTATCGACTACGCTGGGATCCACAAGACTACGAAGGCCTGTGGGTGCTGAGGGTGCCGTCCACCATGGTGTGGCGGCCAGATATCGTGCTGGAGAACAAGTGAGATGAGCATGTGGGCAGGGCTGGGGGACAAGGGGCCTGGTTCTCTAGTTGCTGGCAGGAGTTACCACGCCAGCCAGGCATGGAGGGTGTTTCACTCAGGGCCAGCATTTTGCAAGAGCTTAACAGTGTTAGAGGCTATTGCCATTTTTGTTATTGTTACTACTAACGGTCATAGAGGAACAGAAGCAGGACTAGGAGGTGGGACTGGGGAAGCTTGCCCGGGTGGGGATGGCAGGGAGGCTGCTGGGGACAGTAGGACTTACAGGTGGGTCTGTCGGGGGTGGCAGGCTGAGGGTTGGTGTCCCCAAGCCCCCACCCACATGGGGCAGAGGGCTGCTATGGGGTTATGGGGTCTCTGCTGGGGCTCCTGGGATCTGTGCCCATGGCCCCATGGCCTGGCCTGTGCACACAGTGTGGATGGTGTCTTCGAAGTGGCTCTCTACTGCAACGTGCTCGTGTCCCCTGATGGCTGCATCTACTGGCTGCCACCTGCCATCTTTCGCTCTTCCTGTGCCATCTCCGTCACCTACTTCCCCTTTGACTGGCAGAACTGCTCCCTCGTCTTCCAGTGAGGCCACTGATGGCATGGGAAAGGGAGGGATGTGTGTAGATCCAGGGAGCTGCTCTAAGTGGGGCCTGGGTAGAGGAGGGGACAAGCATTCTGGGTCACCTCAAGGCCATGATCCTGGCTTCATCTCTCCCAGGCTCAGGTAGAGGCTCCTGAAGGTGCCCAAGGCCCTTCTGCTAAGTCCTGTCCTCTCACTCATCCTCCTTCACTGCCTCAGTTTCCCTGCATGTACCCTGAGGGGAGAAACTAATGTTTGTGTGGGTGGGGGGTGAGAACACACAGACATGCCTGCACACAGAAGAACCACCAGGCAAGCAGGATGTCCTGGGAGAAAGGAGCCTGACCAGAACTAGGGCTAAAGCTTGTTTGTGGCCCAAGGCACACCTGGTGTGTTCCCTCATCCATAAGCGAGGCGAGGGCCTGGAGGAAGTTTTCCTATATTTTAGAGGAGTAGTTTTTTTGCAAAGACAGTTGGCGGAAGGTCCCTCAATAATCAGACTGAGAGGTCATCTCATGGTGGGCATGTATTTTCTACATTATGGTTCTTGGTAGTAGTAAGAGGGACAAACACAGAGCAGCCCTGCGTTTGTTGACCAGTTGACGGTATTGAGTTGCAGCCTCCCAGTCCAATAACTGACACACATCCTGGTCCTCAAAGAGCCTATGTCTCCCCTGCCCTCCCCACCAGGCTTTCAGGAGAATTCAGAAGTGCAGCGCTGCATTTACTGAAGCCAAATGCCTCCAACAGTCCTCAGTTGACTGTCTGACCTTACAGCTGGGAGAGGAGGCCCCCTTACTCCAGTTTATCCTCTTTCCCTCTGTGCCCCCAGGTCCCAGACTTACAGTACCAGTGAGATTAACCTGCAGCTGAGTCAGGAAGATGGGCAAACCATTGAGTGGATTTTCATTGACCCTGAGGCCTTCACAGGTAACCCCTATCCAAGGACTCCTGGGCAGCCTCACAGGACCCCTGCTGAATGTGGCTGTGGGGGTAAGGCCAGACTAAGGCCATACCCCTCTCAATGTAACTCAACATAAAAACTACAGCAAACTATAGAATTAAAAAAAAAAAACAAAACGAAGAACTGGGCATTCTGGTGCATACCTGCAATCCCAGCACTCTGGAGGCTGAGGCGGGAGGATCCTGAGTTCAAGGCTAGTCTGGGCTGCATATGGAGACCCTGTCTCAAAGAATGATCCAATGAAGTTCTGACTTCTAGGAGATTAATAGCCAATCTCCCATTCCACTTATATCTCTGGGGCTTCCTAAGGCACGTGCTGCCCCTGTAGCCTCCTTCCAGCTGCAGGTCTGCCCAGATCACACCCCCTGTGCCCACCCACAGAGAACGGGGAATGGGCCATCCGGCACCGGCCAGCCAAGATGTTGCTGGATCCGGTAGCACCAGCGGAGGAGGCGGGCCACCAGAAGGTGGTGTTCTACCTGCTCATCCAGCGCAAGCCCCTCTTCTATGTCATCAACATCATCGCTCCCTGCGTGCTCATCTCCTCTGTCGCCATCCTCATCTACTTTCTTCCTGCCAAGGGTACCTGGGCCCATGGGAGGCCAGGGCAGGTCCTGCTTGGGGCACAGAGTGGCACCATGATCCAGGACCAGGGCAGTGGGCTTCTTGTAAGGTGAAGGGGTTCCTTTGAGGGTGGGCAGAGGGAGGAGAGACCTGCTCTAAGGGCTTTTGGTCATGGGCAGCGGGCGGCCAGAAGTGCACAGTGGCTATCAACGTTCTCCTGGCCCAGACCGTCTTCCTCTTCCTTGTGGCCAAGAAGGTGCCCGAGACCTCCCAGGCAGTGCCGCTCATCAGCAAGTAAGGCTGGTCTTCACCCTTTTCACCTCCTCCTGGGTTTGATACCTAGTAGGTATCAAACCCAGGACCTTGGTAGCAAGCACTCTGCCATGAGCTACATCTCTAGCCCTCCCCTCCCTTGCAGTCTCAGTCATGCCTTGACCCCCACTCTCCATGAGGGAACTTGAGGGGAGTAGCCACTAAGGGTGGGTAGCATCTGGGCCTGGGATGCCTAAGGGCCACCCAGCCTTCTGCTCACCCTGATCTTGACAGGTACCTGACCTTCCTCATGGTAGTGACCATCCTCATTGTCGTGAATGCTGTGGTCGTGCTCAACGTGTCCTTACGGTCCCCCCACACTCACTCCATGGCCCGAGGGGTCCGAAAGGCAAGGTGCCTCCCTGCCCACTTGGGCATCTTGTGCAGCCCACTCACATGTGCTTCCCCCTTCACCCCTGTTCCTATTCCCTAACTGCAAAATTCATCAGCCTCCTGCATGTATATTCAGGCATGTGCCACAGTGGATGAATAATAATCCAGTGCTCACCAGGTGTCAGGGAGAATACATAATTAACTTAATCTTCATATAATCCCTATTAAGTGAGTGTTAGTATCATCTCCATTTAGATGAGGAAACTGAGGCACAGACAAAGTAACTTGTCCAAGTTTATGCAGCCAGAAAGTGAAGAAGTCTGAATTCCAGGAAGTCTGATTCCAGTCTGTGATCTGCAGCCCACCTGCAGCAGACAGATGGGGCCCTTGTTGCAAATGAAGATTTCCAAGCCCACTCCAGGCATGCTAGACTGGAATAGAGGCAGGGAGGGGACAGATATCTGTGTGTTTGTAACAAGTGCCTTGGTGACTCAGATGTGCACAAAAGTTTGGGGCCCCAGACTCTGTGTCTAGGGCAGAACAGCCAAACTGTACCAGGGCTCAGTTGCTGCCACGAATGTACTGGCCCCAGGCCCACTTCCAGCTTCTGCTCTGCAACTCAGCCAACCAGAGTACGCCCTCTTCAGGTGTTCCTGTGGCTCCTGCCTCAGCTGCTTCAGATGCACATCCGCCCGCTGGCCCCAGCAGCTGTGCAGGACACCCAACCCCGGCTCCAGAACGGTTTCTCCTCAGGGTGGTCCATCCCAACTGGGGAGGAGGGAGGCCTCTGCCTGCCCCGCAGTGAACTTCTCTTCCGGCAGAGGCGGCGTGATGGGCTGGTGAGGGCAGCACTGGAGAAGCTAGGTGAGGCCCAGAGTTGCCCCTGGGGACATTCCTGCTGCAGACTCAAGATGGGTAGGCAGGCACAGCCAATGAGTTCTGGACAAATGTCTAAATTGGGAAGAGAGGGACTGGGGTCTCAAAGGAGAGGCCACCTTCTCTGCCTGTTCCCCTCCCTTTTACTTCCAAATCTTACCCTCTCTTCCATCAGAAAAAGGCCCAGAGATGGCACAGAGCCAGGAGTTCTGTGGCAATCTGAAGCAGGCTGCCCCAGCCATTCAGGCCTGTGTGGATGCCTGCAACCTCATGGCCCGCGCCAGACACCAGCAGAGTCACTTTGACAGTGTAGGCTGGGGCAGGGTAGAGTGGGTGGAGTATCTGGGCATGAGATGTGGGCAGAGTGGTGTGTCCAGAGCAGAGCAGTGAGAAAGGAAAAGCAGTGCTAGGAGCAGGGAGGAGGGGGGGGTACCTCAGGGACAGGGACCATGGAAAAGATATGATGGACTTAGACAAAAGTTGACACAGGCCCAAGGAAATGGAGAGTAGAGGTTTGCCGGAAGCCTGAGGATGGAAAAGGGAGCTGGGCCAGCTGGATGTCCCACTGGTCATCCCACACCCTGCTTCTCCCACCCTCAGGGGAACGAGGAGTGGTTCTTGGTGGGCCGTGCGCTGGATCGTGTCTGCTTCCTGGCCATGCTCTCACTCTTTATCTGTGGCACTGCTGGCATCTTCCTCACGGCCCACTACCACCAGGTGCCTGCCCTGCCATTCCCTGGAGACCCCCGCCCCTATCTGCCCTCTCCAGACTGAGCCAACCAATCACTGCTGGGCCCAGGGCAGTTGTATTTGTGAGTCACGCTGTCTTCTCCACTGTGTTCTGTTGCTGAGGTTATGAGTGTGCTCTTCAGGAAGTATCCAAATGGTCCTGAGAAGAACTGGGGAAAATAAAGAGATGGAGCTGGAGTCCTGGAATGGCTGGGGATTGGATGGTGGTCAGGATACAGTATTGGGATCAGCATTCACTTGGCATTGGCTAGCTCATCCTGGCATTACCCATTCTTCCATGTAGCACACTCCCCTCACTTCACCAAAACATTATTGCCTTCAGTCATTTTGAAGCCCTAAGGTCTCTGTTCTGCATGATGCCTCAACCTGGGCAAGGTTCTGTCCCTTCAAGTCTGGGAAAATCTTCCCTTTTATGAGTCCTCCCTGAAGATGGGCAGTCAAGGGAGGTGTGAAGAGCTTTCTCCAAAGACGGGCAGGGAGTGGTTGGTGGTGCAGTTCAGTGGTGCAGGGCTTGCCTGTGTGTGAGGCACTGGATTCAATCCCCAGCAATGAAAAAAAAAAAGAAAAAAAGGGAAGGGGGACAGGAGCACATGCCAGCTGGCATGGCTCTGCCTTCTGGGTACCATGAGTACCCAGTACTCACCTGCAGGAGGGCCTTTCCACTCGTGTGCATTTTTTTTTGCCATTAATTACAAAAAAATTCTTGAATTTTATCATCTTTTTCCATTGTTAGAAATTCCTCACAGCACCACGGACAGACAACTCTTCCCCCCGTTTCATTTGGGAAAACTGGGACTCAGAGTAAGAGAGACTCCCTAGAACACTGGCGGTTCAATAAGGTCTGGGGTCCAGAATTCCTGACTCTGACCCAATTACTCATTCTTAGGAGGGTCCTGTGGCCTAAAACGTGGACCCTTGTTCCCTTTCTTCTCAAACGCAGGGCATTTCCCGCGGGAGAGGCATGGCCTTAAACTTGAATGACCAGGGGACAATCAAGGGCAGGTATGCTCCTTGAGCCTGTTTCCTCATCTGTAAATATGCACAGGAATATCAATTTCTACCAATCCTTACTGAAGGGTCAAAGGTGAAGGTGATTCAAAGAATGTTAAAGTGCCACATAAGGCCTGACAATGGCACTTGTTGAGAGGGGACGGGAAAATATGCCTTCCCCAAACACAGGGTTGTTGGTTTTTGGGCTCCATCACCAGCAGGTTCATTTTATTGACTCCAGTGTGTGATGTGCATGCAGAAGTCACTGTCATAAGACCCTAGGGAGTGGTGGGGGCAAGGACTTTGGTGGAGGAGGTAATTTAATGGCAGTGACCATTTCAGGTTTCTGTAAGCCCCTTACTAGCTTGGTTACCTGAGAGCGACTTTCTCAACCTTTCTGAAAGCCATACAGGGGAGAGGGTTAGTTCTGTAGCTCCTAGCATACAGTGAGCGCTCACAGATGGCCACTTGCTACCATTTTTTGAGGGCCACCATGTCTCGCATTTGACACTATCCCTGTAATTCACATGACAACCTGGTGCAGCAGCGCCAGGGCCAGAGAGGAATCAGCCTGGGGAGGTTCAAGGAGATGCCAGGACGCGCCGCTCGCGCTGGGGTGCAGTCGGGATTTAGATCCAACGTCGCGGTGCTGCCTTCACTTCCGAGCGGCTGAGGGACGGAGCTGGGACGCTATGCCACCCGCCAACAAGAAATAAGACTGGGAGAAGTCAAAAATCCGCAGACAGCCGTTGGCTAACCCACGCCTCCGCGCAGCCGCTCTGGGCCGGCGTCGCGGGAAAACCGCCCCGCCCCGGGCTTGCGCGCCGACGTTCCGCTGCGCCCCGCGAAACCGGAAGTAGCCGGGCCCTCGGCAGAGGGACCCGGCAGAGCGGAAGTCACTCCGTGAGGCAGTGGCGACAGCGGCGGCGAGAGGATGAACAACAAGTTCGACGCGTGAGTGGCGCGTGGCGGTCCCCCGGATCCCTTTTCCACAACCGTCCCCCCGCGCCCGCTGGGGCCTGGCGGCGCCCCACCCTGCGGCACCGGCCTCCTTCCTGGGCGCTGCTTACGGCCTGACCTGCCCCGGGCCGGCGGGGAGGAGGGAGCTGGGAGCTCGGGTGCAGGGGGTCGGTGGACCCCTAGGGCCGCGAGGACCGAAGGCCAAACAAGGGGCGGCCGTGCCACCCGGAAGGAGGAGATTTGGGACGCCCCGCCCCCGGGGGGGGTGTCCGGGTTTCGGCGGCTTGGAGGGGTGGAGACCTCGGCGGTTTGGGTGTCCCCGCAGCCCTGCCGCGCTCCTTCTGAAGCCAGCCTTCCTCACGCATTCATTTGCTCTTTGGGTTGGGAAGGTCACCTCTCCCCTCCGAGCGTCGGTTCTCTCCTCTACAAAGCCGGGACGGTTACAGGCTGTGTCGTAGACTTTGCAGCTGCAATGAGGTACCGTGGCTGCAGTTGCAGAATGCTCTTCGTCTTCCTGCGGCTCTTCCTGCGTCCTTTCTCCTCCTCGCGTTCCAAGTCTTCCAGCACTTGGTTGCTGACCACTCCTGTACTCTCTGAGCACCCACTCTGATCCCTAGTTCCAGCATCAGATAATTTGGAGAAACTGAGAGGAGGTACAAAAAAATGGTTTTTGCGTATTTCCCTCCGATGATTGTATCTTTTTTGCCTTAAACATTCTCTCGTCCATTTTAACAGTACCTCGATTAACATTTCACAACAATAGCATTTTGCAATAGGTTTTGTTCTTCCTTTGTAGAAGTCTAATCTGCCTCCTCATCCAAAGACCTACATTACTATCCCAGACCCAACAGTTGTTTGACAGCAGGAAAGTTCCACAGTGTCAGAACCATTGTTGCCCTAACCTTGTGGTTAGTTAGGACCCTGCTGGAGGAGTTAGATACCTGTACACTCAGAAATGCTTAGAGGTACTTCTGTAGATTGCTAGATCACGAGGTATGTATGTAAAGTGGGATTACTATTAGTAATATTGTGAGCTGGTGCTGCTGGTGGAAGTTGGGGTTTTTCCAATACAGTGGGTGCTTCTGTGTGCATTCAGGGAATACCGGGTCTGCAGCACTCTAGGCAGCTCCTTAGGCCTGTTTCCTGGTTGTTGAGAGGGCTCTGCTTCTAGAGAAAGCAGATGTCTTCTCTTCCTGCTATGTAGCTGAACCTAGCCCCACACTCACCCCACCATAAACCCTACAATACATAGCTGGAGATCTGCAACCCTTCCTCCACCTATTTCAATAAATCAAATTGCATCCTGAGAAGATACTTCAGGGGTATGATAATGGTGGCTTTCCACATGAATCTAGCTAGGTATTTTTCTTCCTAATAACTTTGCAAAGGGTTGCTGATAAAGACAAAGCTGTCTGAGGTTAAGTAACTTGCGCAAGACCCATGGAAGGGCCAGCCCAGCTTTGCTTTCTAACTTTGGTTCTAGCATGACTTGACCAAAATTAATCTGGGGTGCTTTAATTACTTGTAATTATTATTAGCTATTGTGCAGAGCCAGGATATTTTAACATCTGCCCTCTAGCTTTGCAGGAAAACAGAAACAATTGCTAATTGAAATTAGCAATTGAAGACAGCACTCAGGCTCCAGTTTGTCTTGTTTTGTTTTGGCAGTACTGGAGTTTGAACTCAGGGCCTCACACTTGCTAGGCAGGCACCTTCTGCTTGAGCCAGTCTGCCAGCACTTTTGTGTGTGGGACATCTTCAAGGTAGGATTTGCCAGACTGGCTTTGAACTGCTGTTCTCCTGATCTCTGCCTCCCAAGTAGCTAGGATTACAGGTGTGAGCCACCAGTGGCATGGGGGAAGAGAGGACAGTTTTGTTTCTGTTGTTTTGTTTTTCACTCAAGAATTCAGCAATCATTGTTAGATATTCGGAGTCTGCACTCCTCACAACAGTGCTCCTAAAGGATGTGTTCAGTTTGCTAGAATCCTTTTTAAAGGGTAGTGTCTGAGTACAGAAGTATGATATGATGGACCAGGATAAGGAGAACTGTCACCTTTACTTTTTGGTTCTGCTTCTCTGTCTATAACCAAAGATTGTAATTGCTTTTTTGTGGGGGGGGGAGGGCACTAGACCCATCAAGTCCATAGATCCCATTACTGTGGATTGCATTGACATGTAAAACTACATGCTTTTTCAAGAACTGCAGTAGTCCTATCTCTGTGCCCTCCCTGCCCCCCCATAAACTTAGTTTTCTAGTTGCCATACTTGATTTTGTCTCTATTCTATATTGTTTTAATTCTATATAATTAGCTCTTGACCTATTAACTAGTGTCTAAACCACTTATTTGGTATTCATTGCTTTGATTTTGGAGATCCACTAATTAAACAGATGTTTGTTTTATGCCTCTGTTCAATGCTGAAGGTACAATGATGAATTAGATCAAGTTCCTACCTGCAAGGAGTTGGTCTAGTTCAGAAGGTGTGAGAAAATACCTGAGTAGAAGCTTAGTGAGCTAACCAAGGTGCCTCTTACTCTGAACAGTCTCTGATGTGAATTGCCTATTGGTGCTTTTTGAGCAATGATTTTTTTTTTTTTCCGGTCTGAATTGTACCTTGGCTCAAACCCAGCTTCAGGCTGGAAAGAGCAGTTTGAAGAAATAGGTTGTAAAAGATTTGCTTTAAGTGTAGACTCAGAGGGCAAGGTGGTAGGATAGCTCCACACTAAAAAAATAAAAGCACTGTAGAGCTGGGGATGTAGCTTAGTGGTAAAGCACTTGCCTGACATAAATAAGGCCCTGGGTTTGATCCCCAGCATCAAGCAAAAGGGGGAGGTGGGGAAGGAAGGAGAAAAAAAAGCACAGGATGACTGTCCATTAGGGTTTCCATTTACTGGTTTAAAAGGGAGTCAGGAAGTGGTCATTGGTCCAGGGTTTAGGGTAACATTGTTTCTTCTCTGACATAATTATTTCTGTTATTCTATTTCCTAGTGGTAATTAGTAGCAAAACCACTAAAAACAAAGGAACATAGAGGCTTTTCTTGGGGTTGGCAAAAATGGGAGTTCTTGGGGTGACTGATCTTTAAACAAGATCCAACCAGAGGCTACAGTGGGAATTAGAAACTAAGAAGACAGGAAAATGGTTTGCACACTCCTGGGTGTGTCCTCCAGAAGAGAGTTAAAGCTGCCTTGGACCTAAGCAGTAGAAAAACCCATGAGATGTTCTTGGTCAGGAGACAGATAACTGGCTATGACAGTATAGCGAGGGCACGGGCAAACTTTGATACAGGGAAGTCCAGAAGAGGGGAGCCTGACCTATGTTGGAAGAGTTTAGGAAGTGTTTCCAAGAGAAAGTGAGTTCTAAAGGACAGGGGAAGAGGCAGCACAACATGATGAGTGTAACGGGTGAGACTGGGACTGCATTTAGGTTGATACAATGGGAGTGAAGGGAGTTTGTTGGGACAAGGTAGGAGATGCTGTTGGAACATGTGGGCCGAATGTGCCTCTGCTGAGGTGTGAGGTCTGTGTACCTCATCTCACGTTCTTGGGGACGGACATTCTGGTAGCCAATACATAGTATATGCTAGGTAAGTGTTGGCAATTTTTAATCCCTAGGACTTGTGTACTAGGCAGGCTCCTTTTAAAAAGGAGAACAAGCAGTCGGGGAGAGAATATCAGATGATGGTCTCCAAGAAGCCCAGAGAGGTTAATGAAGCCAGAAGGATGGCAGCATTAGCAACACAACCAAGCCCTTTTCTTTCCACTTTCTCTGCTCATCTGCTTTATTCTCTTTGCCTTGACTCACTTTCTCTGCTTTTACTCCTTGTTTTGATTCCTTCATGTCTCATACTGCCACCCCGGGTCCTGAATCTCTGCTCTTTCCCTCCTGGATGAAATGCTGAGGGAGCAATCTGCTATTATTTTGAAGCAAGGCCCTGAGGTATAGGTTATTTGCCACGCTGGACTACCCTTTAGTCAGGTGCCTTTCTTAGTGGTATCTTGGCCATGATGAGGGTGGGAGTTTCATGGCACAGGGCCTGACCACCTGTTTCCTACAGCTAGGGCTGCAACATGAGCAGAGCAAGTACCCCAACACATGGCTAGCTCATTCAGTATAATATTTATTGGGTACTTTATGTGTGTTAAGCACTGAAGATTCATGGGCACTCCCCTCCCCCAGTGGAAAATACGCTACGTTTGTGTATAGGATAATATCTGAGTTAGAGCTGGGGCATTTCTGATGCCTGCCTTGAGAACTGCTTGCTTCCATTTGACTATGCATGTGGTCATGAAACCCAAAAGATGACTCTGGAGAAAACCCATAATGAGTTAATACTCTTCTCTAGAATAAATGACATTTTTATCTTGTATACCTTCTGTTCTTTTGTCTGGATCCAGTGGATTTTTGATGTAGTTAAAAGTCTTTAGGTAGTTTCACTGTGCCTGAAAGGATAGCCCTTAAAGTACCTTTGACTCTGCTTATGAGGCACAAACACATTTATTCCTTCCTTCAGACCTTTATTTTTCCTTTTCATTTAACATTTCTTCAGTGTCGTCTTGTCCTTAGTCCTGGAGACACTGAATTGATTAAGACACTGCTGTGAGGATACCCTCCCTCTGTCTTGTAGAAGAAACAGGTGCAAGAGGAATGGCACCTCAAGCTGGAGGCAGTGTGGGATACAGGTTGCTAGAGGCAGGGGAAGAGAGAAGGGTGTCACTTGGCAGGACTCAGATTCTAGAGGGTCTTGCCTTTTGTTGTTCTTTATTCAGAGGGTAGGCATCAGAGTGAGGGAAAAATTTTCAGGAGTTTAAAAAGTTTTAAGAGTGAAAGTTAAATAATCAGATTTACATTCAGAAAAATGTAAAGGATGGATAAGAGTAGAGATTTGTGTCAGGGAGCCCCTTTAGAATTCATTCTTTTTTTTTTTTTTTTTTTTTGACAGTACTGGGGTTTGAACTCAGGGCCTCATGCTTGGTAGGCAGGCACTCTACCACTTGAGCCACTCCACCAGCACAGAGAGCCCCTTTAAAGGGATTTATGATTGAGATGACAGGAGAAAAGGGCCTGAACTAAGGCATAAAGTGGGAAAGACTAGGAGAGGTTGTGAGAAGGAGAAATGAATGTGTGTGTGTGTGTGTGTGTGTGTGTAAAATCTTCGTTTTAAATGACAAAGGAGTTATTAATCCAGAAACTTCTCATTATTTGCTCTTACATTTGGGGAAAAAAAATCCTGAACAACTTTGTTGTGCAATTTTATTTGTTTGTTTTGATGGTACTGGACTGGGGCATGATCTCAGGAACACATGCTTGCTAGGCAGGTGCTCTGTCCCTTGAGCCACATCTCCAGCCCTTTATTGTGCAACTTGTTGGAAAACTGAAATACAGGACTTTCTGGAGTTCACAAGTTAACTGATGGGCATTGTTTATTTTATCCTCCTCGTTTGTCTTTCTACATTCCTTTTTCCTTCTCTCACTTCAGGTGCATCTAACAGGCCTATGTTTTGAGCGACTTTGGGTTGGTTTCAGGGTAGTTTGTATGACCCGGTGGCTTTGTTAAGTAACAAGAATCAGCTTAGTTAGGGAATGACATTGTGTTTTGCCTTCCCACACAGCTTGAAAGATGATGACAGTGGGGACCACGATCAGAATGAAGAAAACAGCACACAGAAAGATGGTGAGAAGGAAAAAACGGAACGAGACAAGAGTCAGAGCAGCAGCAAAAGGAAGGTACATTCTGTGTTGTGCAGGTGTGGCTGCCTTTGGGCTTAAGACTTAGTTATTTTGTATAGTCTGTTTATCTGGAAGATACCAGAATAATTTGATGGCACCCTGTTTTGCAGTATCTAATTTTGTTCTAAAAAAAAAGACCTAGGGATTGGGGATGTCTAGCATGTGCAAGGCCTGGGTTCAACCCCCAACACTGCAAAAAAAGATATGCAAAGACAGGAAGGGAGGATACAACCAAGGCATGATATATGCATGTATGAAAATGTGAAGCCATTAATATGAGCAATAAGTATCCATTAATAATTATATTTTTAAAAGATTGTGGAATCACATGAGTTTATTTTGGGACTTAGAGTTTTATTCTTGTCACAGAATCTTGAGGTGCTGCCTTGTAGTCTCCTCACCTCAGGTGAAGGAGATGAACCCTGGCACTTACTGGAAGGTGCTTAGTATTTCAAATCTTACACATCTCTATTTTAGACTTTTTAGTCTGTAATAGTCTAAATTGAAAGTGACTTGGAATAGAGAAAGTTTAGGGAATGAGAGATAGGTGACTCTATTTTCCTTGACCTTCCATTTAATAATAGCAAATATAACAGTAGCTGACATTCATTGTTCAGTTACTCTGTGCCAGGCATTGCTGAAGTACTTAACAGCTACTAATCATTTGATGCTCTCAGCAGCCTTTTGAGATAGTTTTTCTTACTTCCTCCATTTTGCATGCAGGAAGCTGTGATACAACCAGGTTAAGCAATCTGCCACTCTTAAGTGATGAGTGTTATGGAGGAGTCAGTGCTTGGATGGGGTGTATATTAAGATAAGATACAGTTGTAAATGCTTATTATATGAGGTAGAATGTTATTAAAGCCATAAGAACACATATAAAGCATTACAGGGACTTAGAATCATTTAACCACTATGGAAATTTACTGTGTGAGAAGAATCTTGATCATATTGCAAGTAATTGAAGTTGTAGTTTTTTGGGTTTTTTTAACTTGTGGAGGTGGTAAGGAGAGTGATAGTGTAAAATGTTTCTCAGTCTCAGAACTTGGGACAAATGCCCAGGACTAACCTACCTTCTTTACTTCCCAGGCTGTTGTCCCTGGGCCAGCAGAACATCCCCTACAGTACAACTACACTTTCTGGTATTCCAGGAGGACCCCGGGCCGTCCCACCAGCTCACAGAGCTATGAACAGAATATCAAACAGATTGGTACTTTTGCCTCTGTGAGTACTTAGTGGTTTAATACAGTGCCTTGGTAGGGTACTAATACCTGTATTTCTGTCACTCTGTTTTTTTCTGCCTTCCTCGTGAGCTGTTTAACATTCCATTTTCCTTACTCTGCTCACCTAAGTCCCACGGTCAGATTTTTTAATTTTTTAGGTTTTTTATAGTTAGCATGTAGGTAATCAATAAGCATGAGAATGGTGGCTTTGATCAGAAGGGCATAATATAACGATAGCAGGACTTTTTTGTTTTTGTTTTGGGGTTTTTTTTTTTTTTTAGCAAATATTTATTGAGTATTTGTATGTATAGTATGTCATGGGGGAGGGGAATACCATATTTTATCTAATACATGAAATGGGGTTTTTTTTTGTTGTTGTTTTTTGGATATGGGGTCTCCATATGTAGCCCCAGCTGGACTCAAACTCACTATCCGTCTGCCTCAGCCTCCTGAGTGCTTGGGTTGCAGGTGTGCTTCACCATGCCTAGTGCTTAAAGTGATTTTTGATTGGGGGATTAGTATACTTTCTCTTTACTGTAGCCCTCTGAATCTTAGTTCAGAGTGAGCCAGGCGTTCTGGTGGGTATACTTTGTTTCTTTCAACTATGTTAGGGTGGGAGAAGGTTTAGATTACTGCTTGCTATATACATAGGACCGCCTAATATCCTAAGTCACTGTATACAACTACGCCCAGCAGTTGCAGAAGTGGTATTATTAGTGTCTGACTTGTTTTAAATGTGTAAGACATTTCAAGTATTCCTGTTTTGGGGAAGAACTGAAGGAGACAGCCATTGTATGCAGCATAAGGTTATTTTCTCCTCATTTGCTACTCAAGTCTAGAAGTCTGACCTGAATGTTTGTCAGTAACCATTTTTGCTGCACAGTTATGGTATCAGCACTGCTGGGTATTGTTTTAGTCTTCTCAGCACAATTTTTTGCAAATCCTGGTGGTTTTACCTCATACTACTCTGTGTTTTCACTTTCTTCCTAAAGTATTTATCGTCACTGGCTAGTACTGAGTATGTATCCTTTGCAAATTACAGGGGAATAGTGTCTGCTCTCAGGACACTAATGAGAGAAAAACCAGCATGATGAGATAGGGTCTCCCTTACAGCCCAGGTTTGGTAATCCTCCTCCCTCAGCTTCCTGAGTGCTGGGATTATAGGTGTGTGTCACCACGTGTACTGCTAAATGGGTACACATTTGAAAGAAAATCATTAAGTCTAGTTTTCTGTAGGGTTTAAAGATGGACTAAGGAAAAACATAATTTTTGTAGCTAAGGAGATAGATTTAAACCCCACCTTTGAGAGGCCAAGTCCTGTTTTTATTTTGCACTTACCTTGACCTCAGCAATAGTAACTTGGTATGGAGTAACACATGTGGCTGATTCTTTCATTTTTGCTCACTAACTAAATGGAGCCAAAATACATCTCATGCTGTATTTGCCAAGCAAAAAATCTTTGATCAAGAATTGATTTGGTTCTGAAAAATCCATTTAGGCTAAAGCATTGTGGCATTTAACATACAAAACTAGAGGGTTTTTATTGTGCAAAAAAAAAAAAAAAAAATCTGGTTCTCTTCCACATGTGATAGTTGCCCTGCAACTCTAGTGAGAAGGTACACATCAACATGGCTTTATCTCCTAGAAGTTCCTGACCAAGGCCAGCATTTCTTACCCAAAAACTTTATTCTTGTACTTCCAGTTTTTTTTTTTTTTTTGATCAAACTATCTGATAGGCTTTTTTTCTACTATGCCACACAGTACTGCAAATGAGAATGCATCCTCCAAAGAGGATAGCTGTAGCAGAGTGTCTTCCACGCTTATGTACTTAAGTAAATCTCAGATCTTTGGATGCGTTTGAAGAAAAGGAAAAAATACATCCTTTGTATCCTGGGGTCTTCTTATTGCAGGTGGAGCAGTTCTGGAGGTTTTATAGCCACATGGTACGCCCCGGGGACCTGACAGGCCACAGTGACTTCCATCTCTTCAAAGAAGGAATTAAACCTATGTGGGAGGTGAGGACTGAGGACCTCTGGCCTCTGAGTGCTTTTTTTTCTTTCTTTTTTTTAAGTTATCCTTATTCCCACAGAACTCATTTGTGTGTGTAATATTTTTACATAGTAGATGTTTTATTAAAGTGTTAAGAAAATAATAGAGAACCAGAGCTGAGCTCTATGATCTGTTTGCAGAGCCATTAGTTGGCTAACTGTGGTGTAAAGCATCTTCTGTCCTGAGGACAGCATGTTTTCTTAGAAGACAAATGTAGTCACATGCACTCTACTTCCCTGTTTCATGAAGCTCTTGTTGCTCAGGTCTCACTGACCATCATGTCTATCAGTCTTCCCTTCCCTTCTCCGTTCACCTCTCTCACTCACAGTTTGCACAGATACGCTCCTCCCAGTGCCTTCAGCATCCTTCACCTGTAACTCCTGTTTCCCTCAAGACCATTCAATGTTTCCTGAGTGTTTCCAACTGTCATCTACTCTCTTACCACACTATGCATAGCTCTGTTAGAGCAGCACTTGTCAGATTGCGTGGTTTTAATTATCTCCTCTGCTGTACCTATCTGAGTAATTACTGGGGCTTAGTGTCTGTGTACTTGGTATTAGTGACACTCACTAAACTTGTAGCAAATGAAGCGGTGAATGGTCTGTGTTTGAAATGTGGCATTATTTCATTTTGATTCCTAAAAGTGTATTATTTATTATTATTGGTGGTATTGGGATTTAAACTCAGGGCTCTTGAATTTACTAGGTGCTCTGTCACTTGAACCATACCTCCAGCCCTTTTTTGCTTTGGGTTTTTCTTTACTTTTTTTTTTTTTTTTGTCTTAAAGATAGGTCTGGCTCCTCCCACCTCCACCATGAGCCAGCCTGGACCTTGATTAACCTACCTATGGTCTCCTATATAGCTGGGACCACATGTGTGCACTACCATGCCTGGCTTATTCATAGAGATGAGGTCTCTATAACTTTTTGCCTAGGGTGGCCTTGAACCTTGATTCTCCTGATCTTTGCCTTCCAAGTAGCTAAGGTTATAGCCAAAAGGTCTATTTAGCCATTTTTCTCAAATGGCTTATGCCAAGGATACCTGCCTTGTTTTTCTTTTTTGTTCCCTGTTTCTTTTCTCCTTATCCTTAACCATTTTTTCTATAAAGTTAAAAGATTGGAAAGTGACCAGACTTCCTGGTCATCAAAGGTATTCCCTTGATATTCAAGGGTTTGTACTCAGGACCTTGTGTTTGCTGGGCAGGCACTCTACTGCTTGAGCCATACCCCTGGCTCAAGGGACTTTGGTTGTTTACTGCTTTAATGTAAAAGAAAAAATCTGTGGAGCAATATTTTAACTTTGATGCTGTTGTCTTTTTTAGGATGATGCGAATAAAAATGGTGGCAAGTGGATCATTCGGCTGCGGAAGGGCTTGGCCTCCCGTTGCTGGGAAAATCTGATCCTGGCCATGCTGGGCGAGCAGTTCATGGTGGGGGAGGAGATCTGTGGGGCTGTGGTCTCTGTCCGCTTTCAGGTAAGCTCAGGCCAGACTGCTTTCCTGTGTTGCCCTCACTTCCTCACTGCCTCTGCTTTGCTTTGATGATGCCTCTGTTCCTCTCATAGGAGGACATTATTTCCATATGGAATAAGACTGCCAGCGACCAAGCAACCACAGCCCGAATCCGGGATACACTTCGGCGTGTGCTTAACCTACCTCCCAACACCATTATGGAATACAAAACTCACACCGACAGCATCAAGTACGTGTTGGGGGGCTTGGGAGGGTCATGCCCCTGAGCTTAGCAGAAGTAGTTCCATAGTTGGGCCCAGAGGCATAGGATCGTACAGGAGACTTGTGGAGAAGGGACAGACCAGCCCCCTCTGGGGCTCTGGCCACTCGCTGCAGTTGTTGGTGGGGTTCCCTGCTTATCCACACTGCTAAGTGCTGTGGAGCAGAATGCCCTTCTGCAGAAGCCCAGTTGTCCCGCCTGGCTGACTGCATTTCAATAGGCCATCTTGTCTTTCCTATGCTAACTACTGTCTGAAAATGAAAGACAAAGCGCTTTTATTTTTCTGGCTGTTTTTAAGGTAATTTCACTGAAAAATAAAGTCCTCCTCCCTGCCCATCCCTCACCCCACTTTTGCATGTCTGTTTAACTTGTTAGCTTCAGACTGTTCTCTTTGTCCTGGGAAATTAACTTATCAGGAATGATGACTCCATTTCTTATGTGTGGAGCTGAAATCATAGATGAAGCAGGATACTTTGTGAGAGAGTAGAAGTAAGGGAAGGTGGAGGCCACAGGAGAAAGAAGTGTTAGTCTCCTCGGGACTCAGGGCAGTGGAGCTCTGGGCACAGTGAGAATCACTGGTGAGGCTTTCCCCTTCAGTGATCAAGTAACAGATAAGCTCAGGTCATTAGGACAAAGTTGGGAGTGGCTGCCAGATTGTCTCAAAAGTGAGGGAGAGCCAGCCAGCTCAGAGTCAGGGCTCTGATGTTCAGTTCTCCTCTGTGGCCCCAACTTAGTATGTTCCTTTGGCCACTCTCTGCAACTCTGCTTCAGTTTCCCCTCTAAAATGGGTGCCAAAAATACATTATTTAATAAGGCTGTGGTAAGGCTGACATAGTCTTTGTAACTGAGGGTCCTCAGAGAGAGTTCTTACAGAGTCAGTATTGCTGTCATCATCATTAGCAACAGTACCATCTCGTGCTATTCTTACTAAGGACTAGTGAGCCCAGTGATTGTATTCATAAGCAGGCAGACCATTTGGGAATCTTTCCCACGCATTCACAGAGAAGGTTATGGGTGGAGTTGGCTTACACTAGTTAGGTGCCAGTTTTTAAATGGCACTGCCATGGGAGTTGGTCCACATCAGATGGCTGGCTGTGACTCAGTATAGCCACCAGCAGTCATTCACTAGCTAAGGCCTTGGTTGCTTGCCTCAGCAGTCCTGTATCAGCACTGTTTTCCCAGAGGCAGATTTGTTTTACTCTCTGTTCTGGGATAGAAGTAGTTTCTGCCCTCCTACCAGATTCAGTCCAGGCTGGAGAAATCTACACCTTTTTCTAGGACTCTTGTTTTCAAGGTTCCCAAGTTTCCCCCACCCTACCAACTGCTAGGGCCAGCTTTGCACCTGGGTAGAAAAGAGAAAGAGGTGGGGTTTTTTTGTTTGTTTGTTTGTTTGTTTTTTTAATCAACTCCCCCTTTCCACTGTTCTCCCTCTAGTACCCTGAGGCAGTTCATCCTGACTTGTAGAAACATATGTGAGTCCTTGCAGGGCCTAGGAGAGCCTGTGGACTTCTGTCATAGTCTGCTAGAAAGACAGTCCTGCTGCGTGATGCTTTCCCCAGAGCCCTGCCTCTGGGGACTCCAGCCCTGCAGCCATAGGACCAGAACACCCTCCTTGAGACCCAGATGCCACTTTCCCTGCTCCCCCTCTTTTCCTCTCCCAATGAGCCACCTTTTGCACTTCCACTAGAATGCCAGGCAGGCTGGGCCCCCAAAGGCTCCTTTTTCAAAACCTCTGGAAGCCGCGGTTGAATGTGCCATGACCCTCTCACTCTGGATGGCACCATCATTGAAGCTGGCGTCATCGGAGTCTCTTGTTCTGTTGGCGTGCCACCTGGAAGACCCTTCTGTCCTGGACAAGAGGAGTGGAAGAGCATGTTATGCTTTGAGAACAGGCTGACACGCAGCAGCTACAACAACAGCTGAGATCACAAATAAATGGTGCTAAACTAGCTTGTCTCATGCTCTTGCTCTTTATGGTGCATCAAGATGTGGCCTTTCGGACTGTCACCACGTTAAGGGACGGCACAGGCTTCTCCACGCAGGGCCATCCGGGGAATGCAGCTTCATTTCCGTGAGGCAACCGTGTAGTATCACGTGGTACTTTGTTCCAGGACAGGTCTGATATAATGAGGTGACATCTCAAATAAACAGGCTTTCAAAGTAAGACCCCATTTCCAGGTACTTGAACTTAGTTTCCATCTAGTGAAGCTGATGACCAGCCCAGAGTGGTTTCCGATTTTGATTTGAGCTTGAACAGTCTGCTAGGGCTGGAGAGGGGGATCCTTAACCTTTGCTTTGCTAACTTCCATTTGTCTTTACTTCAAAGAAATCTTGCTTGGAGGTAAAGTCCTGCTTCCATCTGTGTGGCTGCACATATGTAGCTTCCTTGCTTTGTGCTCATGGTGTTCTTGCTGGTGCCAAAGCTGCCCAAGCTGCAGGCTCTTGGCTCCTTCCTTTTGCCTTCCCTGTAGAGCAGATCATCTTCCTCTTTGAGCTAGCCCTGCTTGCACCATCTCAGGTGATAACACTCCTCTCCTCCCAGCCCAGGGTTACCGTGCCTCAGACCTTGGGGGGGAGGTGTTCTCGTCCCATGGGAGTTCACCTCTGAGGAGGTTTGACATGCTGGCCTCTTGTGCTCTGTGGCTTTGGCTTATCTGTGCTACAGCTTGGCCTTCAGGCCTCTAACCTGCATGGAGTTTCAGCAGCTTCATGTTACTTTAGGTTTTCTTAGGAGCCACCATCACAATTGAAAACAAAAAATCATTTTTGCAAACCCTGGGTCAGGCTGCCTGATAGGGTCTGTGGAAGGACTAATGCTGAATTTTCCAGAGGGGCTCTTCCACTTTGGCAGCAGCACTCTGTACTTGTACCATCCTTACTTAACTTACATCCAATTTCTATGTTGCCCAGGAGCCCACAGAACACACAGTGAGTGACACCTTGGGCTCAGCCTTCTGGGAATGTTTGAGTGATTGCTTTTTTATTGCATTCCCAAAAATGGTTGAAGTACCTAGAAAATGGGAGATTTGCTAGAATGTCAAAAGACCCATTGTTTATGTTTTTAGTATTTGTCAAAGAACAGCCTTCTCTGGCTCCTCTCATCTTTCACTATCAGGTTACATGCATTGAGCTTAATTTCAGTCACATTATAACTGCACCAGGGAATGAACTTGATGTCACCTTGCAGAGTAAGAATCTATCAGCACCAAACTCACCTTGAGAACCTCAGACTGTGGCCACATGTGAGAAGTCAGAATTGGTTCTGCCTTGGTCCGTTTTTTTGTGGCTCTTCCATAGTTGTGCTTTTGTTTGAGCCAAGAAACAGTAGCTACTGAGACTTGAGAATTTCAAAGAAATGAAGAAAGAACCAACAAGTGGTTCTTTCCCAGGTACCCTAGAGATGAGGGTGAAGGGCATGTCTTTAGGAATGCCTTAGATTCTGCAGTCAAGCACTCCCCCTCTAGCTTGCTGTTTTTCAGTCCCATTTCCAGTGTCCTTCACCTGTTTTTGCAGCCTTCCCCCAGTCGCATTGCTTGTGGTCCTTAACTGCTGCACCACTAGGTCAAGCAGGAGGTATCTCTTGCCACACAGAAAGGGCAGGGAGTTGCTTTGCTACAGAGGGCTTTGTCCTGATGTATTGACAGCCATCCTAAGAAATGTGAAACGTGGTAAATAGCATTTTGCTCAGATCATGGCCCCTTTCAAGGAGGCTAATTAAGAGTTGAGTTTTCTTAGGTTTGGGTTCTTTGAAGAGAGACTTTATAACACAGCCAGAATCATGGGGCTGCCAAGGTAAAGCTGGGCACAGCCATCTAAGACAGCACTGTCTTCTGTGAGGAAATTTCTCTTTGGAATAGTCCCATTGATTCCTTTGTGCATCTGGCCAGAAATGGAAAAGGGGGCAACAGGGCCAGCTCCCCATAATGATCTGCAGTGCTGGGGAAGACTGGCTTAAGTTCTCTGCAGAGACACTGATAGGTGATTCCTCCTTATTCTGTTGGAGAAACTGGTCCAGTTGTGGAGACATTTCTTCACCATATCCAGATATCATCGTATTTCAACATTGAACTTTATACAAGGAAAGATCAACCTTTCCTTCCTGTCATTGCTAAGTCATAACCCAGTAACACTGGGTTACACCAGCATAATGTCTGGCTTAGTGGTATGTTGTGAACTGTACCACCATGCCAGCACTTAAAGCTGGAGAGGCCCAGCTTAGCAGGAGGCTGGTCTCCTGCATGAGTATTGAGGACTGATCCAGTACAAGGCTCTGACCCTGTAGACATTGGATAGGGATAGGGCAAATACAGAATTACCCAGAAATGAGAGCCCTCTGCTCTCAAAATTTGCATTTCTGGTAAGTGAGATAGAACAAGTGAACTTGAAAGGGCTCTTTGTTACTCTGTCAGTGAGATCTTAATTCCAGTAGACTTGGTGATTTTTTTCTGGTTTTAGAAACTCCAGTCATATGACACTTTTTGCATGTAACCTGGTCTTTCTTTACCTTTAAAGGAAGAAAGTTTTAATACTATCTAATGTGCCTGGGATGTCAGATGGAAAGTGGCTGTCCTGTGAGAATAAGAGTAATTTTACCAAAGTCTATAGCCAACTAGTTTCTTCTCACTGAATTTATACAAGGAAAATTTTTAACCCAGAGTCTTCATGTTGAGGTTTAACATACAGTGAAGATATTTCTGAAGGAACTGGGAGGGAAGTTTCATACTGGAATGGATTAGAGGGAGCACTGGAGTCCATATTTCTTCAGGTTCTTGCCCAGTGAACAGCCCTGTTTAGTGAGGTAGGTATGGGCCTTTCTGGAAACAAAAGGATAAATGAGATGAAGCTCCAACATAGCTATGTAATTTCTTATTGGCACCTAAATTGTTTAAAGTAGAAGTTACATCTCACTGTTAGAACAAGAAGAGTTTCCCTAGGTCATTGCCCAAGCATTGGATTTTCATTTGTCTTCGTGTGAAGAGTGAAATTGTCTTCAGCATCCCTCATGGATTCAGAGTACACCTCATCAGCATCTCTCCAGAAAAGGCTGTGGAACATACGTCTTGCTGTGGAAGTTGTGTTTTGGAGTTAATGAAGACTGGTGTGTTTTTTTGGATGGTCTTTACCATTTTTCCTCAAGTCAGTTAGCAATATGCTAGTAGCTTTTAATACTCTGAAGAAAATGTGTTTTTTTATTTTTTTGTTCTACTTCTAGGACCATATCTCCAACCCCCTTTGCTCTGGTTATTTTGGAGATAGGGTCTCAGTTTTTCCCCGGGCTAGCCTAGACTGTGATCTTCATATTTTATGCTTCCTGCCGTAGCTGGGATGACTGCTGAGTGCCTCCATGCCCAGCTTTTGAGACCATTATCTTCAAAACTACTCATTATAAATGCTATTGTTTAAAAAGAAGGAAATAATGATGAAATAGGTATAAACAGTGCTAGAAGAAAAGTTATACTGGGTCTCCTTAGTTAACTCCTTAAAATTTTTCTCCGTTTTTTTTTTTTTTTTTTTTGGTGGTGCTGGAGAGGGAACCAAGGGCCTTGCACATGCTAGGCAATCACTCTACTGCTGAGCTACATCCCCAGTCTTTCTTTTTTAATGAAGAAAAGCTACCTGTGGAAGCCCTATTAATGAAGTATATTTTATTAAATGTATAGTGAGTGACATGGTATGTTGTTACCCTGGGTGCTTTGCCACTTAAATCAGGAATGGAATAATTAATAATAAAGAACTTCAGGTTTAGAAGCACCAAGTTTTATATGTAATTCCCAGAAAACTTAATGCTTTGGGGCTGAAAGGTGGCTAGGGCAGAAAGATAGGAAATAAGCTTTTCTGAGAAAACTTGAGGTAGGTAGAGCTTCCAGAATCCTAGGGGATCTGATTTTCTCCTTTTTTCCCCCCTCATTCAGCAGTTACTAAGAGCCTGTTTGTGGAGCACTGCCCTGCAAGCCTGTGTACCCCTTAAGTCAAATTTCTTATCTCCTCCCAACACTGATTTCTTAGTATAAAAGTTGCAGTGAGCAATGTTCCATGGAAAATTTTGAACTGCCATAACATACACAGCTTAAATTTTAGGATAATAGTTACATGGGTATTTAAGAAAGATGGAATCTGATGTATTTAGGAGCTGAGTTTAGAAGGGTTAGAAGGTTGGAAATGTGAAAGCAGAGAAGATGGTATAACCTCATGGCATCTTTTCACATAATGTTGGTGGGTGCTTGACTTCACCCTCAGGGTGAGGCCTGGTGAAGAAAGGTGGTTTCTACAATGTGTTCCTGGGGACCCAAGGCAGAAGAGGCTGGAAGCACCGTTGCCCTTTGTTGCAGTGAGTTGGAAGTGTTTCTGGTCATAACTGAACCTCAGCTCTGACCTCAGGGACTTCCCCTATTCAGCCTTATTGAAGGAACACTGACAAGTCCTTAGGGAGTAGTGAGGGCCAGACTTCCCCAGTGGAGTAAGCCAGATGTGCCAGCTACCCATCTGAGAAGAAAGTCTGCTGGGAACCTTATTGCTCTATGCCCAGCTCCCCCAGTGGCTCTACTTGACCTGGAGGGCATTGAAGCGGGAGGTGGGGTGATGGTGTCTGTTCTCTGTTCAAAGCATTTCATCTGAATGTGCTATTGTGTTTTTTGTCTCTGGTTTGCCAGGGCCTGGGAGGAGTTTCATGGCCTGGTGAACAGCAGCGGCCGCTGATCGGACGCTCCCCCTCTGTCTCTCACACTCAGGGTAGGGCCTTGTCTACCTTCTCTGTAACCCTGTGACATACCTCTCAGCCATAGGAGCTCCCTTCTTCCAAAGGGGATCCCCTCTTCCTATTTGTCCCCAACCTTGCCTCTGCCAACATTGAGCCTCACAGATACATGGAGTCCCAAACTGCTGGGTTATTAGCCTTGCTGGGTCATATGTCTCTGGGTGAAGCTGCATGTAGGTCCTAGACCACATTGTGCTTCTGTGTTCCCATTTGGAAAACGAGACTTCATGGGCCAACAGATCGGAGATCTCTTTGGTGCTGACATTTCACAATGATAAATGGGCCCCAGATCTTTTTTCTTCTGTTTGGATATGGCCATTTTTAGCCATCTGCCATTGTCCTGTGCTAAATAAAGGTCAGTTGCGTGGGCCTGATATGGGTTAGGTGAGAGGTATGTCTCTGGTTTGCTGGTGTCTGTCAGTTGTGAGGAAATAGTACTATAAATTCAGAGTTAGTGCAGTGAAACGACACGGCATGGGGAGGGGAGGCTGTGTGGGTTTCAGGCCTGCATAAGAAACAGTTACAAGCTGTACTATAACTAAACTATCATATGTTTACTGGCAGAGAGGGCCTCAGGTAGGGAAGTCTGGGGAAACTACACATTCACTTGAGTATTTTCATTTCAGTCAAGAGCGTTTGGTCTGTGTCTGTGTAGCATAGAGAATTGGGTAAGCTTATTCAAAACGAGAGGAATGGAAAGGTCACTGTTCAGAGATGAGAGCCTGTGCCTGGACATCAAGCAACCCCACCTCTGACATCCCTGGAAAACAGTATTTCTGAGGTTAGATTGATTACATCAACTGCAGTAGCTGCTTCAGAGGTCCCTTCCCAGGAAGAGGTTTTCTAGGCCTGTATTTCCAAAAAAAGGAGACCTGTATCCCTCAGATGAGCTAGAAGAAAGATGATGCCGTGAGGGACAGAAGCAGGTATCTACAATTCTGGGTGTTCTGTGGTCCAGTGGGATCTAGAGATGATTGCAGGGTTTCTGCACACACACGGTGCTCTCCCAGCTTCTATTTTAATAGCTTGATTCTCTTATGAACCCGGTTTTCAGGTGGCAGAACCATCCCCCTCCTCCAGTTATGGAGATTGAACTCAGGGCTTCACTCTTGCTGGGCAAGTGTTACACCACTTGAGCCATGCCCCCGGTCCTTTTGCTTTTGGTTGTTTTTGAGATAGGGTCTTACACTTTTGCTTTGTCCAGCAGTCCTCCTACCTCCGCCTCCCAAGTAGCTGGGATTACGAGCATGCACCACCACACCTTGCATCGCAGTACCACTTTTGTGGGGAAATGGGGGGGACAGAGAGGAAGGGGCAGAGAAGGGGTGGCAGTAGTGGGGTTTAGCCCAGGGCCTTGCACTTGTTAGGTAGGTGCTCTACCACTTGAGCCATGCTCCTAGCCCTTTTTGCTTTGGTTATTTTATTTTATTTATTTATCTTTGTGATAGGGTCTTGCTTTTTTTTTCTATTAGTATTCTTATAATTGGGATGTTCAAGCTGGACACCAGTGGCTCACACCTATAATGCTAACTACTCAGGAGGCAGAGGTCAGGAGGATTGTGGTTTGAAGCAGCCCAGGCAAATAATTTGTGAGACCCTATCTCAAAAAGCCCAACACAAAAAGGTTGGCAGAGTGTCTAAACTGGTAGAGCACCTGCTTAGCAAGCATGAGGCCCTGAGTTCAATCCCCAGTACTATTATTTAAAAAAGGGGGAGATGATGGGATGCTCACAGTGAATGTGAAAAGATTTTTTTCATAGTTTAGTTGACAGTGTTTATTTGTTAAAATACGTCGAATGATGGTACCTTTAAAAATCAACACATCTTGCGACTGTAGCTCTCTTGCTGGAGACTCCCTTTGCAGGCTCTTCTCCCTAATAAAGCCTATGCTGATGTTAAAAAAAAATAATAATAAAAATAATTTAAATTCTTCCATGAAGAAAAGTCTTTAAATTGAAGTAGTCAGAATGGAAGAAAACTAAAGTGACTCCCCCTTGGTAGATACTGAATCCCCAAAGAAAATTATCTTTGAATTGCTTGGAAAAGTCATATACTTGTATAGTTGTCATTGTGTAAACTCTGTTCTTTTTATAGCCTCTCCCCACTGTTTCTTTTTGATGTACTTGATGGCTTAGGCATTCTTGAGACACATGCCTGGGAGTCTGAGGAGTAATTGGATCTAAACCAAAACAGTCAGTTTACTTCATTGTCTTAACAGATTTAAAAAGGACTTCATATTTCATCCCTACCGACTTGGCCTTTCTTTTAGTGAAAGGTGTTCTAAGATAGGATACCCAGCCAGGTTTGTTTGATCTGGCCCATAACACTTTAGCCTTCTGTCTGCCTCCCTCTTTCCTTTCTCCCCTAATAAGTAGATGATGATCTATGAAGAATATTGGTTAAAAAAAAAAGCTGCTATTTAATTTTTTGTTGTTTTGTTTTGGTATTAGAGGTTGAACTCAGGGTCTCATGCTTGCTAGGCACTCCACCATTTGGCTATACACCCCAATCCTTTTTTAAACAATTCTTAAATCTTAAATACTTTTCTTCAGCTTACATATTGATAGTATTTTAGGACTATTTTATTTTAATTTCCTTACAAAGAAGTCTTGACCTTTAAAAATGTCTTCAGTAGAAATCCCAGTAAGTCACTTGGGAGAAGATCTTGGTAAGAGATTGAAATTTGCCCCATTGACCCAGAAAGAGTTTGCAGCTTTATTGAATATTCAAGTGGAGAAGAGGAAGCCAAGATTGTCCACTGGGATAGATTGCTGATAGCCAGGTAATGTTTTCCTGAAGACTACATACACTTAAGGTGGCAGACTGATGGTGAGCACCCCTTCCAAGCCACTCTCCAAAGCAGAGAGTTAGGTAGGGTTCCTCTTCAGATGCTACCCTGCTTTTACCTGAGGACCTGGAATCTCTTTGGTGCTCCTGCTGAGTGCCAGTATACTGGCAGGCCACTTCCAGAGAGAGGAGGCATTCTTCTGAGGGTCCACCTTGCCCCTCCGCTACCTACCTTCAGGAGTTAGTCCCTGCCTTAGCTCATTTCTTTCCAGAGTCAGGACTTACATCTTTCTCTAGAAGAAAAAAAAAAAAAGTGGCCATTTTGGCAGAGCAGATTAGAAAGCTGTTTCAGAGTACTTGGGCAGCAGTTTCCCAGGATATCTGTGAATGTAAAGTTAGAAGCCAGTTTGGATAGGGCTTTCTGGTATTTCTGCGACATCGTCATCAGAATAAAGGAACATCCAGTAGAGAAAGAATTCTGAATTCCTCCAGGACTATGGGACTGGGGACTCCTGTGCTCTTTGGTACTATAAGCGTAGCCCATGCACTATCATGGCATGGCCAGGTGGCTGGCTTTCTGGAGCTCATGGTGGGTTTTCTAAGTTTTAGTTTTAGTTTGCTTTTAAAAGAAAAGAAATATAAAAAGAAAAAATCGCCTGTGGCCTCTGCTACTTCTGTCTACATTCTCCCTTTCCCTGTTGCCTAATCTTTGTGTTACAGCTGGGATGAAGGACCTAGTTAAATATTAGTTTCCAGCTAGTTTGAGGTGAACACATTCCTCAAACTAAACATGGCACTAAACTATTCTAAACCCATTGTTTTTAGAAAGGCTGGACCATAGCCATAGGTCCTCACCACCATTGGCCTGCTTCAGCCTATCACTAGCAGGGCCAGGCCATCCGTGCTCATTGCTCTTTGCTTTCCTGTTAAATCAAGCCAGAAAAACTCAGCTGGGTTCTTCTGTCTTTACTTATACTATTGTCCCCTTTTACATTTTGCAAATGGGTTTTCAAATGATAGGACTTCTTAGAAGGGTTTCTGACTATAAAGAGGTCTCTAATAAGAGAAGTAACTAGCATTAAGTGTTAGATATCTGATTGGAAAGTGTAGTAGAATTCTTCAGTTTACATGTCACAGACAGAAGAATTTATTCTGGTCCAACCCTAACACTTATGGGGATGAGCCTTGAAAATCCTCTTGTTCACATCACTGAGCAGCTGAACGTACTGTATCCATATACTCACCTGCCATCTCCCTTCCTCCAAGATAGAGTTCTTCCTCAATTGGAAATCTTTAGCCCTCCTTCCCGTAGCCCTTCCTTTCTGTTCACTCTTCTAGTAAAAAGAACGGAATCCCACCAATAGACCTGTGCTGCCCAGTGGTTATCAGGGCCTAGAGGTGGCATAAAAAGGAACAAATAGAGCAGAGCAGACTTCATGCATGCATACTGTTTAGCACTCAGTCTATGTAGAATAAGGAATCTTCTGAACCACAGACTCAGTGACAGCACATTATCCCCAAGTGAGCTCAGAAAGCGTCTCGTTCAGTGGTCCTACCTGTCCTCTGTGTTACGAGCAAATGGATTTCTTGTCCTTTGCTATCTGACTACCTGTGCTGTGTTTTGTAACCTTGGTCTTTACAAAGAGGATCACTAATGAACTTTGTGTTCAGCCTTCAGCTCCTTAGATGAAGATAGTTGAAAATGCTCAGTAGCCATTGATAAATGATCTGCACATCAGTTATAAAAATGCCAGTGGACTTTTGAGATAACATTAGTTTCTTCCCAGCCAAATTCACCTATACCAGCTCGCCTTCCCTCAGTATTTTGTCATTCTGCTTGGTAGAGGGGCTGTTGGTTACTGTCAGCCTGTCACCCTTAGCCAGTAGCAGGAGTACACTGCCATTTAGCTGTTTCAGTATTTGTTTATTCTAGACCAGCTGCCATGCTCAGTATATTGTAACAATTTTCAGGTAGATCAGTTAAAGCCAGAGCTTCTACAGTGTCTCTTTACCTTTTTTTGGCAGCACTATAATTTGAACTCAGAGCCTCACACTTGCTAGGCAGGTGCTCTTACCACTTAACCACTCCACCAGCTCTACAGTGTCTCTTTAAAATAAAAGGGGGAAATAAATGACTCCAAAAGTCAGGGTAATGAGAACTTCTGTTTCAGAATTTCCAGCATATTTAAGCCTGAAGCATTGGGTTGAGTAGTGGGTAGGTGTCCTTTAAAATCCCTGTCAGAGAAACCCTGTCAGAGATTTTTGAGATTCAGGTGGTGATATAACCTGCCAAGACATTGGATTTCTAGTGGGGGCAGGAAGGGTTGCTGGTGGGCGGCCAGGCTTGCCCACATCCAATAGAAGACCTAAGAGGACACATGTTGGGATCTGAACCTTCTACACATGCTGGTCTTCCCGGAGTTGGAACCATGTTTACAAACATGGGACACCTAGGTTGCACCTCTTAGAGTAGTCTCCTTTTGAAGGCAGCTCTCTTTTAAACTGAGGATGTGGAATGGATTGGTTGGTGTTTTGTTTATGGAATGATTAAGTCAAGTGACCCACTCCATGCTTTCTCCATCTGCCCACTTTCCTCTGTACCTCATATTCCCCACCCCCATTTCTTATGTAACCTTTCAGAGTTTCTTAACTAATACGTAACCTTATTCCTTCTAGCCCCACTGTGTATACACATTCTTCCGCACCTTAGGTTATCAGTTGATTTTAGGGATCTTTTCATATTTGTAGCTTATTTTTTTATAGCTGCACAGTGTCCCATTGTATGAATGTGCCATAACTTTAATGTCTAACCAGTCCCCTCTCAATATACATTGAGGTGATTTCTGATCTTTTGCTGCTACTCCCAGCAACTGAATGGAAGGGTTTGTGTCTATGTGTGTGTGGTGGTGGGGGTGGGGGGATGTACAGAGGTTTGAACTTAGGACCTCATGGTTGCTAGGCAGTTGCTGTACCACTTGAGCCACACAAGCCCCTGAATGGAGTTTGTGCAAGACCCAGGAGGCAGATTGCTAGTTGGCATGAGATTGGCAGGGAAGGTCCTGGGGGTGTGGGGAGCCTGAAAGCTTTTGAGTTGAGTTCCCCCTGCATGTGTGTGGTTGTGTCTATGCCATCTATGTATTGAATATTCTGTTTTTCCCCTTTTCTCTTTCAGGGACAATTCAAGCTTTCGAAATACAAAAATCACATTGTGAAAGTACACAAGCTGGCAATAATCCTTTTTGTATGTGTGTGTCCGAAATGAATGGGAGGCTCCACCAGTCCTTCCATCTGCTCACTGACATGACGTCCCTGAGCCGTGTGCTCCCCTTTTGCACTCATTCCTGGAGGATGGATTCCGCTACACACCCTCCAGCATCCCTGACTTTACAAAATGGAAAATGGAAAACGTGACTGTAGATAAACATTGTTTTTTAATGGGCTTCTGTGGGGGGTGGGGAGTGCAGCCTTTCGTCTCACTGTGTACTGTCCAGATGCTTCTCGGCATCCTGTTGTGCAGAGGGCACCGTGACCTCGTATCCATGCCAGGCTGTGGGCCAGCGTTATCAGTATTATGAATGCCTGCACATTCAGGAACAGCCTCTGTGAGAGTCCCGGGATAACCACACGCCTCTTCCAGCTCTGCCGCTAAGTTATTGGGACCATTTTGTTTCTCCCCCAAGTCCACCACTCTGCAAATGCATTACTGATGTGATGGATGCCCAGGATTTTGTGTCCTCTCTGCCTTATGCCCTCCAGGTTCCCTCCTGTGGGACTCTCCTTTGCACTGCTGCACTTAGAATTGTGATCTGTGGGAAATGCTGGTTCCACTGAGGCGGCCTACAGGATCTGCCCTGGCCACTTAAGCTGTAGCAGAACCCAGTTCAGTTGGGAGCTAGATTCCAATATAGATCCCAAGTATAGGATTTGTTACTGAGGACAGTGACTGAAACCAGTTTTCCATATAAGCAGGGACTGTGTGCCAGTCCTGTTTCTGAGAGTTCTTGCATGCCACTCCTTGAGGAAGGGAAGTGATCACTGCTTATTGCCAGGTATTAACAGTGTATAGATTCTATGGTCCTGAAACTGGGACATCTGAAGAAAAGGTGATCTGCTGGATGGCTTTATTTGTATGGGTGTGCTTGTCTACTTTGATTCCTCATAACTTGGTATGTATGTTAGCAAACACATGTTGATCCGTAATGCCCAGGAAGAGACCTCTAGAAGACTACTGCAGACATGCTTTCAAAATGACAGTCCCTATCGGAGAAGCTGGGTGACCTGACTCCAGAAGGACTGAGGTTAGAGAGGTTAAAAGAGAACCTAGAATTCTTGGAAATAATGAGCAAGAGTCCTCCAGCAGCCTCCAAGTAGCACTGCCGTACTTGGCTCTTGTGAGCAGAGATCACAGTACCTTAAATTAAGGCCTCTTTTTAAAACATATCCTCGAAGCCTGGGGATCGTTGACCACTTGATCTCAAAGGAATTGTATGAGAGTAAAGGCATCCCCTTGTTGTGTTTATATTCCTCTATTCCGACTTCCCAACTCCTGAATCCTGCAAGTCACCACTGTTCAGGGATGCTTTTTCCTGAAGGAGCAGGGAATACAGGGGCCAGAGGGAGGTACTTCTGTTACAAGGGAAGCTAGCTCAGAGAAGATCCAGCAGTGATTAACTTCAGGAGTATAAAGAAGGTATTCTGGTATGCAGATGGTTGTGAAAGGCTCAGGCAAAAACAGGAGCAACATTGACTGCCACAGGGGCACAAGCTGCCTCCAGAGATTTGAGTAGACCCCAGGAGGCCTTCACGGTTGCCTAAACGCATATTGCCATGCATATTCCAAAGAGAGCAGACATTTGGATTTGACTGCCTTTGGACATCTACCTGACTAACGTGTGTGCGTGTGGGCACCTGTGCATATGTGTACAGTATGTTGATGAGTGAGGGTTGTGTCAGGCCTAGAAGTTAGGTGTATTCACCTCTTTATTATTTTTTTATATTGTTTGTTCAGATTTTTTTAATCTCTTTCATTTTCTAGAGCTGCTCGTGTTTCCCCTTCCTCTTGGTCATTGTAGTATTAAGAGTTATTTTTTTTCCCATCAAAAATATGCTGACCCTGTGTCAGTTAGAACAAGAAGTTATTTCTGTTAGACAGCATCTTACCCCAGTATTCTCCCAGATATTCTGCCTAACAGTTGTAGGTGGGAGATTGAATAATTAATTTATCTAAACCACCCATTTTTCTTTTCTTTTGTTTTTTTAACTAGCCTTACAGGTCTCTCCATTTATCTTGACTCCACGGGCCTCTGATAGGCCAAAGTGTGACACGGTTATGGTTACAATATCACCTGCTTTAAAGACAGAAGGAACAAAGGTCCACTAGGACCAGTGTGACCAGGGTGTTAGATTGCTGCTAGAGAAGAGGGAGTCACGTCAGGGTGTTCTCCCTGAGCCATTACTGGGTTTTGTATATGAGATTGTCCCCTACTCCTCTCTAGTGCCCTTCTCTTTTTATCCTTCTGTATGTGTGTGCATGTCTGCATATGTGTGTGTGTGTGTGTGTGTGTGTGTGTGTGTGTTTTCCCTGGCAGTGGCAATAATTTTCCACCGGAGAGAAGCTTGTGGTCCACAGTGCTCCAAAAATGAATTTCCAAGTATTTGCCAGTGGGGAAGAAGCAGAGGCGTGACAAGTGATACAGTGTTGCACTTTCAGAGCAATTGTCTACTGCAGTAATAAATGGAAAATATCAGTAAGAACCAGGTTGTAGACTTGTTAATACAAGGGAAGTAAGGACACTGATGGGCTTTGGTATTAATTCTGCCCTTCAGTGTATGAGTCTCCATTTTAAACACATTCCAGAACAAAATATATGGGGTAAGCCAGACAACGCCAAAAGCGTGACATAGATTTATTACGAAAATATTCTCTGTTCTTCCATAATACAATTTACATTTTTTTAATGGGACTGAGGTTTGAGCTCGGAGCTTCACACTTGCAAAGTTGGTGTTTTACCACTTGAGTCACAACTTCAGTCCATTTTGCTCTGGTTGTTTTGGAGATGGGGGGTCTCGTGAACTATTTGCTGGGACCAGCCTTGAACCATGATCCAATGGTGCCTGGCTTCAGTTTACATAACGTTCTTTAACTGGGAGTAAAGAATATTGAAATAGAAGGAAATTCAAAGAATTAGTTTTTTGTTAGTTTATTTGTTTTCATGGTACCAGGGTTGAACTCAGTCAGGGCTGCTCTACCACTTGAGCCACATGCCCAGTCCTTTTTTGTTTTGTTTTGTTAGTGTTTTTTCAGCTAGGGTCTCAGTTTTCTGGAGTAAGATCCTCCTTTTTGCTTGCTTGTACTTGGAATTATAGGCACCACCACTCCTGACTAGATTTTTTTTTGAGACAGAGTCTCACTGTGTACCCCAGGCTGGCTTGAAGTTATGATGTCCTTGCCTCAACCTCCCAAATGCTGGGATTGCAGGCATGCTCTACCATTGCTGGTAAAGAATTAGATTTTGATTTTTTTTTCTAGTCCAGGCCTTAGCTTGGAATGTTTTCTTTAGATTACATAGCTTAGCCTAAAGATGGGCATACAAGGCATGCTATGACCAGTACCCATAAGGGAGAAAAACTTTTACCAAGTCCCAGTGTGCTAGTCAGCTTTCTGTTACTGTAAAAACATAAATAAAAAAGGCTCACTTGGACTCACAGTCCATGGTCATTTGGCCCCATTGCTTCTGGGTCTTTCATAAGGCAGTACATGATTACTGGAAAGCATGTGGCATTGCAAGCTGCTTACCTCATGGTGTCCAGGAAGTGAAAGCAAAGGAGAAGCGGCAATCCTGATACCCCTTTTAAAGGATGCCTGCCCAATGGCAAAGTTTCCTCCCCTAGGCCCCACCTCCTAAATGTTCCACTACCTCTCAATAGCACTATGGGCTGAGGACCAAGCCTTTGAAGGGACAACTAAGATCCAAACAATAGCACCCAGTCATTGTTGCCAAAAGATTAAAAACAGTAGCCTTGGGACTCAAGTTTCAGTAGACAGAAATCTTTCTGTGACTTTCAGTTCATGGTCCAAATAGGAGACAAGAACCATGCAAGTAATTTTAACGTGGTATAAAGAATTGTTGACACAGTAACTTTAAAAAGGGGAGGGAGATTCAAGAATCAAGGCTGGGGTGTACCTTAGTGGTAGTGCTTGTCTAACACATGTCAAGCCCTGGTTTTGATCCCAGCACTGGAAAAAAAAAAGGAACCAAGGAGGTACCAACTTTGGAAGAGATCTGAGAATGTGTGTCACCCCTTAGATATCGGTGTCTTTGAGGCCATTGTGAAGCTGGCTTTGAGCATATTGAAGATGGCAGCTGGGAACCAACTCCTTCCACTGTGTTGATGAGAGTGGGGAGGGGAGCACCCCTCCTTCCTCCAGTAGGGAGGCTTTCCTCAGGACACCCTACTGGAAAGAGCCAAGGATCAACTGGCTAAGCTGGAGTGTTTGCTGAGTTTTTGCCCTGTGTCACGAAAACACTTTGAGAAGGAGTGGCTGCAGAGCAGACAAGAATGTAAGGGTTGTGCAGTCCTCCTCTTAGCCATTGGACATTTACACACCCTTCTACTCATGCACCCATCCTAGGGCTTCTATACACCACAAAAATGGGTCTGTTTTTACCCAGAAAAATACAATGAATTGTAAGAAGACCTTACCCTCTCCTTAAGGTGAGGAATTGTAAGGCCCACAGTCATGAGGTCAGTCTCTGGGCCACTACTTTGGTCACAGCCCAGCTGAACAGAATAAGCATTAACAACATTATCTAAGGGAGAAGGTATGGTAGAACATTCCTGTAATCCCAGTGCTCGGGAGGCTGAAGCAGGAAGATGGCACAGTTGTGTGTGGGGGAATATAACTGAATGAGATGAGGCTGCCTATAGTTGGTATTTCTGACTAACTTTTCCATTACCTGTTCTACTTTTGTTTTGTGTTCTTGGCCACTGCTGATCTAAATCACCAACCTTGCATTGCTGATTCTGTGTTTTCTTTGCCCTTAACCAGGATCTCAGCTGGTCAGGATTTTTTTTTTGGTGGGGGGGAGGGTTATATTCAATTCAAAACTTTATTCCTAGAGAGTGTGAATTAATAGTCTTGTATGTTAGAGTTTTCCATCCATTTTTGCTGGTAAAATTCTGGATTCTAGACAATTCTCCCTTATTGTGTAACAGCAACTCAAATTTCCCCTAGTTGACAGAATATTGCCTTTACTTGCTTGTTGGATCAAAGAGAACATGGATTTATAAACTTGTAGATTTTTGCTAACCTGATAGGTTACAAAATTACGGTATCTCAGTGTCATTCTTATATAACAGTGAGATTGAGAAAAATAATAATAGCGAGATTGAGTCTCTTTTCGTATCTTGACCACTTTCCATTCAGGATTGCAAAATTCAAGGCCAGTGTGGGCTGGGCTACATAGCAAGACCATGTCTTTAAAAAAAAAAAAAAGGAATTAGGGGTGGTTAGGGTGAGTTGTTGAGAGAAGAAGTCATCTGTGCTGGGAAACAGGTAGGAACGGGGTCCCGACAAGTGGAGATGACTCTCAGTGAGAAAGGGACGTAGCAGCTACCTACACAGGGCTGCTCAATGCCCCAGGTGTGAGGCCTGAGCACAGTTGAGGCCCTGAGACCTCTCCTGGAGGACTGACCAAGAATGGCCTTATAGGTGGACCCAGGCCCTCTGGGTGGGAGTCCCAAGGAGACAGGCTTTAGGTTTCAGAAAAGCTTCCTGAGCATTTAGCTGCCTAAAGATGAAGAGGCTGCCTGGCCCCCAAGTGAGGCAAAGTCGGAAGGCCGCCTGTGGGGATCTCAGTGGCAGACGTGAAGGTAGACTAGATGTCCTTTGATGTCCTGTTCAGCCTCGAGGTCTGGGGGATCTCAGAACTGAGGCTTGGGAAAAGCTACATGCCCCCAGGCCCTGGAGAGGCATTGATGTCAGAGGGATGACCATAAGTTGGAGAATTAGGCCTGGCACCACAGCAACCCAGCAGCCTTCTAGTTTGGCTGGGAAGGCGTTAAATGTCCAGGCTCTGAGCTCCTGGCCTCCTGGGAAGTTTGTTCAGCATATTTATAAAAGGACAGCTCCACGCCAGCTTTTCCAGACTGCAGCTGCCAGGAAGGGCTGGTAAGGGGTGGGGTGAAACTCCCTGTAAGCCAGGCAGGAAATTCCTCAAGACTAAGGCAACATGGAGCCACAGCAGATCTCAGCTTCTCCCACACCTGTCATGCCCCCACCCCCTGCTGGACCTAAGGGCCCAGGGCTCCTGCCCAGCACCTCCTGCTGCTGTCTGTCCATCCTTCCTTCCGCAGCCCTCTCCTCCACAGCCTGCCGCCTCACCCTGTCCTGAGGGATGCCCTGCTCTGCTCAAGTTTCCTGCTCCTGACTGCCCCGGCGCCAGCATTCAGTGCCTACTCTACCCTTTCTAAATGAAGGGCTTTTTTTTCCCCCCCTAATTTCAAAAACAAGCCAAAAGTTAGACAATCTGTAACACACCCACATCATGGAATATAATTCAGCAACAAAAAGAAAGGAGCAGGCAAGCCATAAAAAGACCCGGGGGAACATTAAATGCATGTTGCTAAGAGAAAGGAGCCAATCTGAAAAGAAGACTCCATACTGTCTGATTCCAACTACGTGACATTCTGGAAAAGGCGCAGTCATGGAGACAGTAAGACCAGTGACTGCCAGAGACTGGGGGTGGGGTCAGTACGAGTTGCACAGGAGACTTAGGGCAGTGAAACTATTGCTCTGTAGGATACTGTAATCGTGGACACATGTCACATGCACTTGTCAACACAGTGCTGAGTGTACATCGGCACAGTGGCGCCTGACGTAAACTAGGGACTTAGGTGATAATGTTTCAATATTTCCTTGTCATTTACAGCAAATGTGCCACACCAATGCCAGACAACGTAGGGGACCTGGGACAGGTACATGAGGAGTCTACACTTCAGTTTCTTCTGTCGTCCTTTACAGAAAGTACAGGTAAGAAGGGGGAAAGAACTAGAAAAGTCCATGATGCTGCTAGCTGAGAAAACCATTCTTTACTACACGAGGTATCACATTGTGCTAGACCCACGCGGGAACTATAACAGTGGAATCATTCTGTAGGTTCTCTTTTTGCGGTGGTATTCACTTTGGATTTTGAAATAATTATAGACCCACAAAAATAGCACCAAGAAGCTGTGTCTCCTTCCCAGCTGCCCCCACAGGTAACGTTTCACGTGGCTGCACTACAGGAGCAAAACCAGGAAAGTGACATTGATGTAATTAGAGGTTCTATTTGTAACGAGCTTTGTCCATTTAACAACATATGACCATCCTTCTGTGTCAATAATTGCCATTTGGAGTGCGTGTGAATTTCCATCCCTGTGGCTGGATGTCAGTGTATTTCCAACTTCTTTTGGTTGCCAAGACCATTAATTTTAACAACCCACTTCCCTCCATGCCTCAGTTCCACTCTCTCCTGTGCTGATGACTAATAATCACTTCCTAAGAAGCTGTGTACACTGAATCTTGTCTAGGGGTCTGCTTCTGGGGAACCCAAATCCTTGTCACAGGACAGCCAGAGGAGAGAGAGCTTCAGGGAACTCTTACTAAATAGTGATCCTACAAATACCATCAAGGATTCAGTCCTCTCCTCCTCTCTCCTTGGCCTCCCTCAGGACAGCTTCATCCTCTGTACCATCCTTCATGGTGGCGAAATGGCTGCAGTGCTTCCAGCATTCACAAGGTACTCTAATTCTTCCAGAAAGAGAAGGACGGCCGGAGTCCAGAGACTCTTGCCAAAGAAACAGGAATCTTCTCAGGAGCCCCAGAAAATCTCTCCTTGAGTCTCCTTGAATTTGATAGAGTAGGTGGCCAAATTTCAACCAGTCCTTTGGCCAATGGACATTCAAATACCAACTAACTTAAACTGGTTTTCCTGGCCCAATCACTGTGGCAAGAGGTTGGCATTAACCTAGTAGGACTAGAATGATCTGAGCTGGAGATGTGGTTCAGTGGTAAAGCACTTGCCTAAGATACTTGAGACCCTGGGTTTGATACCTAGCACTGAAAAAAATGAAAATCATTCTGGCATTCTTCACAGCCAGGGCAGAGGTGTGTTACAGGACACAGGATGTCAGGAGTCTCAGCATACAACACAGACACAGCACCCCCTCGTCACTGCCTCCCCACCGAAGCCCTGGGATTGAACCCAGGGCCTCACACACACTAGGCAAGTGCTGTACCTCAGAGCTGCACCCCCAACCCATCAGAGACCTTTTATGGCCAGGCAGGTGTGGTGGTACATGCTTTTAATCCCGGCACTCTAGAGGCTCACCCTGGGCTACAAAATAAGTGTAAGGCCAGCCTGGGCTACAGAAAAAAATATTTTTTTATGTCTCAAAAAAAAAAAAAAAAAAAACACTTTCTGGCTCAGGGGTAGAGCAAATGCTTAGCATGTGCAAAGCCCTGGGTTCTATCCCGAGCAGCAGAAAAAGAAAAAAATCCTTAAAAAATTGTGATAGCATACTGTCCTTCAGAAAATACCTGTTTTCTTGTGCCCACTCCTTGTCTGTGTTTTATTATTATTTTCTAATCTTTGCCAATTTGATAGTAAGAAATAACCTTATTCTGTTTTGGATATAGTCTTTGTAAGGGATTCATTTTTTTTTTTTTTTTTGTAAATTACCTCCAAATATCCAGGAGCACTTTTTAAATTAAAATCATGCTTTCCATTTTTTTTTTAATTTTAGAGATTTAAAATATTAAATCCTTGCCATATCTGTTGCAAATATTTTTCCCAGGCTGCCATTTACTTTTGAACTTCACTTACGATGTTTTACACTTTTACCTGGGTAAGTTTATCAAATTTTTTTGATGTTCGCTTTTGCTTAGCTCTTCTAGTTATGTAAACTTCAAACTTTCTTCCAGTAAATCTGGTACTTTTTGTTGGCTTGTTTGCTTTTGTACTTAAGTTCTTAGTAAATTTGGAATAATTTTGTTAGGTAGGATTAACTCTATTCTCATTCTATGATGTAGTCGGGCTTTTTAAATCAAGCAGTCAAGATGGTGTTTGCTCTATGGCCTAAAAGTTCCTTACCTCCATTTACCATAGAGATGTGGCTTTTCTGTCGTGACTCCCCAGTATTCAGGAAAAAAAAATGGTCAGTGCAGCATCAAAGAGCCACCACCCAGGGTGACACGCTGGGTCCCACCATGCCCATGGTGGAGACTCTCTGCTTTGTGGCATTTCAGCCCAGTCTTGCGGATGTACAGAAGGAGAAAGAATGGTGGGTCCAGGTCCCTGACATGCTGGCAGAAATCTGAAGTGATGATGCCTGGGGGAAGGGAGGGATGGGCAGGGCTTGGGATACATGGCTGTCACTTGGGACATCCACGTTCTTTCTCCTTGTCCCACCTGCCTACTGTGTGCCTTTGCTGTGACCCCAGATCCATCAGGCATGAAGTAGAGCTCACCTTCCTGCTTTGCTCTGGGGTCACTCATCCTCGATTGCTTTGGTTTTTTGGGTTTTTTTTTTTTTCGATTGCTTTGTAACAGAGGAGAAATTAACCGACTGCATGATAACTTTTTCCACTTTTAAATGATTCACCAAGTAGTAAACTTTCTCAAAGAGATCCTAATGCACATGTTAAAATTTAGAAGGCAGGAGTAATGGCTGACACCTGTAATCCCCACACTCAGAAATCTGAGGCAGGTGGAGGTAGAATTCCAGGCCAGATCGGACTACATGAGACCCATTCTCAGATGAGAATACTGGCCCTGGGGCTGGAGGACTGCTGGATCAGGAGGTGCCCAGGTGTGGATAGGGACCAATGTGAGGGTTGGGAGAGTGAGTGTGTATGTCCAGGGGCAGGGAGAAAGTAAGTAAATACACGCAAAGGGAAAGGCCTGTGGTGTTGGCTTAGCATCAGAGGTATCAATCTGAAACCATGATTTTAGTTAATTAATTTATTTTGGTGGTAACTGGGGTTTGAACTCAGAGCTTCCTGCTTGCTAGGCAGATGCTCTACCACTTGAGCCAAACCTCCAGCCCAAAACCATAATCTTTAAAATAGCTAAAGAAATATGGATGCCAATGTAAATGTGTTCTGTATTTTTCTGTTTATAAACATGGATTTCCTGGCTATGTGCACTGAAAAGACCTGGGAACACTGCAATCTGTAATAATGACCACACCCACCTTCCAGATCTTGCTTGGTGACACAATTCTCTCCTGAAAGGAGCCAGGGCTCCTTGGAGCAGTGGCTGGTCCTGGGGCTGTGGCAGGAAACAAGCAAGGTAAGCCTCATCTGGAGTGGCAGAGAAGTGAGCGAGTGAGCAAAGAAGATAGGGATTTTTTTCAAAAGACAGAAAAGCCAACTTCTAGGGGCTTCCAATGGCCAAGTCTGGAATGATCTGAGCATGAAAATAATAATAGCAGATTATAATCCGGAAGTCCATTATACACACAAGTGCCAGGGAGAATGGAAAGCTGTCCCTCACAGTAGAATGCCAGCTAATAACTATAGAGGTGACATAGGACATCACTGTTTGGCAGCCAACCTAGCAAGTATTAGTTCCAGCAAGAAATGTAAGGTGTGCTAAAACCAGTGGGTGAAAGGGGTGAAGGTCAGGATTTTACATGGTCTCAATTATCTTCCTCACAAAACATTTATTAAATACAAAGGGAAGCTGGGCATGGTGGTGCGTGCCTGTAATCTCCTAGCACCTGGGAGACAGAGGCAGGAGGATCATGAGTTTGAGGTTGGCCTGGGCTACGTGGTGAGATGCTGTATCAAAAACAACGACAACAACAAAGGGAAAGAAAAGAAACTTTACAGTGGAAAAACCTGGCATGCACCATCTTTATCAAATGGACAAAGTTATTACCAGCAGTTATGGGGCAGAGAATTATCAGGTGTCACTAAAGAGATTGAAAGGAAAAGGACTCAGCATGTGTGACTAGCATTCCCTGGGTCTAATTGTGAGGAAGCACTGGACAAATCCTAACTGGAGGACGTCCTACAAATGACTTCAGAAAAAGTTAAACCCTGAAAGTCAAAGAAGGGACTAGGTGCTGACTCCAGTGGAGATGGAGACCAGGGGATTTGCTGCAGTGTGCCACCTGGAAAAGGAACCTTGGCCCTGAAGGATATCACTGGGACAGCCAGGGAAATTTGCACGGAGCACTCAGCTGAAGGTTCCTCAGAGTCCTACAACCTTTCTGTCCATTTAAAGCTGTTTTCTGCCAAGAAAGCAAGACGAGCACCGAGCTGCCAGCTGCAGCGAAGACTTCTGGTGCCCAGGGCATAGGATGGTACCCTCCCAGCAGAGGAAACTGCACCAAATACAAAAAGCTGGCTCAGACATTGGTGAAACAGGCAGCGCAGGGAGGAAAACTGAGATGAGCCCTCTGGACTCCCAGACTGTCTTCCTGGAGGCGAAATCCAGGCTGGAGCACAGAGAGAGCGCAGTCTGCGTTGGAGGGACAGAGATCACGGTTTGCAGAGGCGGAGACAGCGGGTGCCAGGAGGGCGCGAGGACAGAGAAGGCCCCGGGTCTGGCTGAATTCCAAGTGTGCACACGCTGATGAGAGCCAAGGAGCTGTCATCAGACAGAAGCCCGTGGGGAAAGACTGCTCCTGAGGGCTGGGAAGCGAGTTCCCATCAGCCGCAGGGAGGTGTCCTCCAATGCAGGTGACAGCCCCAAGTGCCACACCTCGGAAGGGCGGTTACTTTAGCAACGGGAGGACAAAGGGCTACTCGGAACCAGCCCTGAACTTGTTTAAAACCAAGTCTTAAAAAGATCAGAGCACTTTGCAAGCGCCTGTCATTAAAACCCCAACGCTCTTAAAAGTTGCACAGCGAAGTCCAACACGCAATGGCTGTCATCCAAGAAAAGATGACCCTCAGCCTGCCGCAGTTTAACTCCAAGCTTTATAGGATTTGCTTGCTTGCCTGCTTGCTTTTCTCTTTGATTTTGAGGTGATGTCAGGAGCAAGGTCACTTCCTACAGGAAGCCCTTCCTGACCTCCCAGACTGGGTCCCAACCCCTGTCACGTGGTCACCGTCTGTCCCTGCACGCTGGGGGCCCAGTTCACGGACGATCGCCTCCCCACGGGTCCTGACCACACCGAGGCGCCGGACCCGCTGTCCGCGGATAGCCATCCGGAAGGTTGAGAGCGAGGCCTCGACGGCCGGGCGCTCCGCAGGCAACCGCGAGGGTTGCGGCAGGTGCTCTGCGGAGCCTCCGCCACCTTGAAGCCGGGCCGGGCCTGCAGGCGTTCCTCGCTGCTCCACCAGGGGGCGCTCCCGCGAGAAAGAATCCGGAATCCGGAATGGGGAATCCGAAATCCGAAAAGCTGCGGGTCCCGCAGCCGCCTGCCATCCCGAGCGCACGTCCAACTCGTCTGCAAAGTCGGGAGACTCGTCCTCCTTCTTCACCTTCACCCGATCCCGAGGGGCAGGTCTCGTGGGGCTGATGGGGACAGGGATGGAGGGCCCTGGGAGAGTCCGATCCTCACTGACCCCATCTTTGAAGCTGGGACTCACGGACTCGGCCCCAGACCGTCTTGTCTGTAAAACCTTCCAGGACAAGGGACCTTCGCAGGTGATTTGGAGGGTTACGTGAGGCGGCATCCGGCGTGGAGGATTTTGGGGAAAACAATGGGGTCGGATATGCATGCAGAGCTAGGGCCACGCGCAGCGCACGGAGTTGTCCTTAAACCGGAGCCGATGACGTTACACGAGTAACGAGGGCGGAGGACCGCGCGTAAAATCACTCAACAAACCTGCGACTTCTGGGCGCAAAAATAGCAGAGAACGCTCTATTTGCACAGGGGCGGGGCAGCCAGGAACGTCCATTCTTGACTTTGAAAATTAAGAAAACCTAAATTCAATTTTTTTGTGTGTGGTGCTGCTGGGGATGGAACCCAGAGCTTCAAGACAGGCAAAAAAAAAAAAAAAAAAAAAAGTGAAGAAAGCCAGGGAATTACAGGCTAGCTTTAGGAAAAAAGCATAAAGCACAAAGACAAGGGAGTTTGGAACGTATCCATCCTCATGGTGCACGTGAACGGGTTAAACACATTCTGCTTTTTGTTTTGTTTTGGGATTGAACCCAGGGCCTCGCACAGGTTAAGCACACATCTGTCACTGAGTTCCACCCTAACCCCTAGCATTCTGATATATGTATCCCAGGCTGGCCTCCAACTGAGGTCCTCCTGCCTCAGCCTCTTGCGTGCTGGCATTACAGACGTGTACCACTACACCCAACATAAATTTTCACTTCAATTATTCCATAAACTTTCACTTCAATTATTCATCAGTTCCTTCCTTGGTCATTTGTTTTTCAGTGCCCAAGTGTGCAGGCACTCTTTCGGGGGACAAAGAGTCTGGGATGAATAGACTCAGGGCCTCCAAGAGGCTCCCCAGTAGGAGTGTGACATCAGGGACACTTCCACTTCCTTCCTCCATTTCCTGGCACCTCCTGTTGCTTCACCTCCAGGCCAGGCATTTCCTTGAATCACCTGTCCTTCCCGGAACTGAAACACTCTACCTGTGGGTGTACAACAGGGCCCGAATGTAACATGTAGTGAGTCCTCCCCTTTGACTTTTTCCTTTAGTTTCAAAGCAAACAACGCAAACATTCAGGTGGGCCCTGCAGCATCTGCAGGTGCCCAGAGCCAGGTGAGTGTCAGGTGAGGCCTCTCCACATCTCCCTTCTCAGAGGAGAGACTCGACACAGGTCATAGTGATAACCCACATGTCATCCACTCCACTCCCTGTGGGGTAATAAGGATGGTCCTGGGGATTAGTTCTCCATAGCCCTGGAGTCAGGGAAATGGAGACAATAAAGACAGAGTCAAGCCAGGGATGGTGGTACATGCCTGTAATCCCAGCACTTGGGCGGCAGGAAGATCAAAGGTTTCAAGCCAGCCTGGGTCACACACACATGCATGTTTGTGCAGGACTGAGGTATAGCTCAGTGATAGAATGCATGTTCAACACAGTGAGGCCCTGGGTGCCATCCAGCACCCCTCCCCCCAGACAGATTCTTATACAATTGGTTTACTTTCTACCCCCATGTGTTTTGTTTTTGCATGTAAAAACATTCCAGAAGAGCCAACGCCCAGTGGCTCACTCCTGTAATCCTAGGTAGTCAGGAGGCAGAGATCAGGAATACCCTATCTCAAAAAACCCATCACAAAAAAAGGGCTGCAGAGTGGCTCAGGTGGTAAAAGCCCCTGTATAGCAAGTGAGAAGCCCTGAGTTCAAACCCCAGTGCCAGCCAAAAAAAAAAAAAAAATCCTAGAAGAGCCTGTACATATAATTAGAGGTCAGCAGAGCCCCAGGAGCTGCAAGGTCAAGGGCCCCTAAGCTGTCACCTTTGTTTTCACCCCCCAGGGCCTGCCAACAAGCCCCAGCTGGACCCAGAGGACAGAGGCTCCAGGCTCCATCAAGGAGGGTGAATGACACCTGCCCTAAGGCTCCAGCTCCTGCCTGCTGGGTGTTCAGGGGTCTTTCTAGAGAACAGAACAATGTCCTGGGTGGAGGACGAGAATCCTAAGTTGTTCCTTATGAGTCTGACCAAAACCCTGAGCTAGGGGAAGACCCCAGCTCTGCACCCTGGTCCTGTAGATCTTTGGAGGGGCTGGGCAGCCCACATGTGACACACATTGTCTTTGTGACACACACACAGCCAGGGGTTCTAGGCCCCTGCAGAATGAGCAATCATGGACAAGGCCCAGCCCCCAGGAGTGGGCTCTAGAGCCACTCCTGCATCTGTGTGTCCCTCCCTCCAGCAGGACAGTCCAGTCTGTCCTTCCAAACCTCAGAGATTCCAAGAACCAAACCTGATACCCCCTGAGGCGAGAACTAGTCCAGTGACACTGCCAACAGGAAGCCTTCACCCACATCCAGGAGAGGCACCTGCTGTGGTTCCTGCCACCGCCAGTGTGGGTGGCCCAGGGAGACTTCCTTGGGCTCTGTTTACCCAACTTAGTGCTGGTTTCCCAGGCCAGCACCCCTTCTCCAAAAGAGGCAGTGGCCAGCAGGTTCCAGCACAACACCAGCCTGCAGGTACCTTTTTGGGTTTTTGCCTTGACCCCAGGCATGAGTTCTGATGTTGGTTTGCCTCATTCCAGCCTTGGTGCATTCTGCTTTCTGAGGGATGCCCAGTCAGCTAGGCGTGGAGCACTATTGCACTGAGTTTCTCCATTTGGGGGATATTTTATTGACATTTTTTAAAAAGCATAAGTTTCAGGAGACACTAAGAATAAAGTAAAAGGTTAGTCACAGACTGGGAGCTAACGTTCACAATATATGTGTCTGGCAGAGGACTTGTATCCAGAATATATAAAGAACTTTCACAGGTCAGTAAGGAGACACACAATCCAACAGAAGTGAGCCTGCCAAAGATGTGAACATACATTTCACCAAAAAAGATATATGGATGGTTAATAGAGACATGAAATGCCACTTAAAACCACACTGAAAATGCTAAGCATAGTGGTGCATACCTGTAATCTCAGCACTCAAGAGGTTAAAATAGGAGGATTGAGTTCAAGGTCATCCTAGGCTACATAGCCAGAACCTGTCTCAAAGCAACTATGACAAAATTAAAACCCTACATGGCCCAAAAATAGAAACAGTCGATCTATTTTCTGCCATTTAAAGGAAGAAATTATTTCTGTCCAATGGCCCCATCCTCGCTCTACCTCTTTTAGGTCCATAGTTCTATGTCTATTCTGTGATGCTGTTCCACATGCAGGTAGATTCAGTGTTGTACATAGCTGTTTTTAAATATACTCCCATATATTTTCTTACAAGGTCCAGGTTGATTTCATATATATTTAGCAGAGTTTGTGTCCTCCTCTTCAGTCCTCGGATTTAAGTAGCTCTGGGCTCCCACACACTGGCTGTGGCATGTCCATACCTGTCTGTCCATGCCCAGTCCTGTTTGTCTGGATTTCCCTCTTGGTGGTGCTGTCAGGCACTAAGCAGGTTTGGTTTTTCAGGACTGTGGGCAGCATTCCCTGAGAGGTGATGTGTTTCCTGATCTTTGGAGCAATGCTTTGCTGAATAATGCTCTCTTTTAAAACAGCGTGCTCACTTTCTTTCAATACGCGTTCACTGAGACACATCGTTCCCGCTATTTGTTGTGGTGTAGTGACCCACATATCTCAGAATCCAGGGTGTCCCAAGTTCACAGCAGCAGGTGGAAGCAGCCCCAGCATCCATTGGGGATGAATGGATGAACAGAATGTGGAACATACATGCAAAGGAAGATCATTCAGCAAGGAAAGGCGTCCTGGCACAAGGGACGGTATGCTGAGTGATGTAGACAGACACGAAAAGGACAAATACCGTTTGATTCCATTCATATGAAGGACCTGGAGTAGTCAGGTTCCTAGAAGCAGAAGTGGAAGGAATATTGGTTGCCAGGGCCTGGGAAAGAGGGAGTGGAGTTGTTGTTTCAGGGATGCAGAGTTTCAATTTGGGAAGATGAAAAAGTCCTGGAGATGTGCTGAACAAAAATTTGAAGATGCTGAACACTACTGGACTGTAGCTACAAATGGCTTGTTGCATGTAATCTACCACAACTTAAGAAACAGACTGGGTGTGGTGTCTCACATCTGTAATCCCAGCCCTCAGGAGGATCGAGAGTTTGAGACCAGCTTGGGCTTCATAGTGAGACTGTCTGAAACAAACAAAACAAAACACTAAGACCCACCCCCTGTGCCTGCTCCTAGACACTTCTCAACTCATCCCTGACTTCTAACGTTTTCGAGTGGTGTGAACGCCAGGCAAACCTCCAGGATGTGTTTTTCTTTTCTTTCCTTTTTTCTTCTTTTGGTGGGACTGGAGTATGACCTCAAACCTTCGTGCTTGCAAAGCAGGAGCTCAAGATTCTTCAGGCGCACCTCCAATCCATTTTGCTCTGGTATTTTGGAGATGGGGGTCTCGAGAACCATTTGTCCCTGCTGGCCTGGATGGAACTTGGTCTTCCAAGTAGCTAGGATGACAGGCGTGAGCCACCAGTGCCGGCCAAGGTATGTTCTTTATGTCTTCTGCTTCTTCTGCTGCTGCAGAGACTTGCACTGGAGGAATTTGCACCATTGTTTGTCATTTTACCATTAGCGAACCTTTGGGTTGTTGCTGGCGTGGGGCTTTTGTGACTAAAGCTGCTGTGAATATCATATACGTACCTTTCAGTATGTGCATTTCTTTCTGGTAATTTCTAGGAATCTATTAATTATTATTTTGGGGAGGGGGAGGTGCTATGACTTGAACTCAGGGCCTTGCACATAAACCCGTGTTCTACCACTGAGCTGCACCCCTAGCCCTATTTATTATTTTTTTTGCAAACTTTTTGATTTATTTTTTTCTTTTTTTGGCTACTGGGGTTTGAACTCAGGGCCTCATGCTTGCAAGGCAGATGCTGTACCACTTCAGCCACCCTGCCAGCCCTTTTTGTAAACTTTTTTATTCAACATTACTTTTGTGAGCCATTCAAAGTGGTAAATATAGCTGTATTCATTCATTTAGGCCGATTGGCAGTGGTTTTTCCTTTTGTGACATTACACCTGTTATATTTTAAAATAAGTCTGAGTGTGGGTTCAGATACCATGGTGAGTCTGTGAGAATTTGTCTGAGGTTTATGCGAAGTGCAGCGGGATGTGCTCCTCTTCAAAGTTGCCTCGGTCTCCTCAGAGGTGTGTGAGTGCTGTCTGTCCACCTCCCAGCCAGAACGTGCTTGCTTTTATTAGGTCTTTTTATTGTTTGCTTAACACCAAGATGCCCAGCTGGTCTTGAACTCCTCCTAGATGAGATCAACATCTGAATCCGTGCACTCAGCAGAACAGATGCCCTCCCCAAAGTAGGCGGCTTTTTGCAATCCTTGGAGGGCCTGAACAGGGCAAAAGGCAGAGAAAGGATGAATTTTTAACCTCGTTCCTGCCTCACCAAGCTGGAACACCTCATCTCATCAGCTTCCCTCAGCCTGGGATCGATGCCATCGGCATGAATTACCCACCGCCTGCTTTCCTGGGTCTTCAGCTTGCAGACGACAGACTGCAGGACCTCTCGACCTCCATCTGAGTCAGTTCCCATAGTCAATCTTGTTACACATCTCTACAGAAATGTGACTAATACCACGCAAAGCAGTACAGATGCTGTGGACAACAGCTCGACATAGAATTACTGTACTACCTAGCACTTCAATTCCATCTCTAGGAATATATCCAAGAGAAACTAAGCCAAATGTCTACACAGAGTACATGCCTATACTGGGATATTATTCTGCCATGAAAAAGAATGAATACTGCTGGGTGCCAGAGGCTCCACCAGTAGCTCAAGCCTATAATCCGAGCTACCTGGGAAGCTGAGACCAGGAGGATCAGTTCCAGGCCAGGCTAGGCAAAAAGTTCATGAGACCCCATCTCAACAGAAAAAGCTGTGTGTGCTGGTGTACATGTCATTCCAACACTGCAGGAAGCATAAACAGGAGGATCGCAGTCCAAGTTGGCTTGGTCAAAAAGTGACCCCCCGTTTTCAAAATGATCAGAGTAAAAAGGGCTCCAGGTGTGTCTCAAGGTGCAGAGCACCTGCCTAGCAAGCGCAAACCCCTGAGTTCAAACCCCAGTACCGCCAAAAGAATGAATACTGACAGTAAAGCAAGGCAGGCAAAGGGAAATAGGACATAGGAAGCAGAAATAAAGGTTGTGTTAACGTGTAACCTGATTAGAAGTGCACAGACCCCATTCCCTTCTCTAAGCTTTGCACTCCTTCACTGAACAATAACCAACAATAGAAAACGACTCTCCCTCACCTTGCTACAAGTGATTTTTGCACCCTGGGATCGTATCTGAAGAAAACTGTCCAGTATGTTCCTTTCCTTTCGTCTGGAGAATGGTCACTAAAAGTCACCAGAGGCACAAGTCTGTGTGCGAGGACTGGGAGTGACTTGACATCTTCGGCCTGAACTGATAATCTCAAAACACACTGTAGCGGCAGAAATGGTTGGGATGTACTGGTGTCCAGAACAAAGTGGGGCACTTACCTAAGGCGTGCTTAACAGGACTCCTGCTCTGCTCTTCCCAGCATGCACAGCCCTGCTAAGCCAACCCATTTGCGTTCTTCTCATAAGCCCCTGTCTTGCCTATGGAGGCTGCTGTGCTTTCTGCTTTACTTGCTGACTCAACCTCCGCCTGTGTTTCATCTTGAAAATTCTTTTTCTGTAACAGAGAACCTAAGGACTTGGTTGAGGTCCCCCTTCTTCCCGATGACCACTTGACATACTCACTGACACCTGGCGGCAATGCTTGCTACCCTGGGAATCTTGGAAACAACTTGAAAAGTGGAACAGACCAGACACAAAGGTCACATAATGTATTAATCTGAGCTAGTGGAGTGGCTCAAGTAGTACAGCACCTGCCTAGCAAGCATGAGACCCTGAGTTCAAACCCCAGTACTGCCAAAAACAAACAAAAAAAATAGAAGTATGAATCCTTTTGAATAGAATTTCCAGAGCAGGCAAATCCATGCAGACAGAAAGCATATTGATCATTGCCAGGGAACTGGGGGAGCGGATGGGGAGTGACTTCCTAAGGAAGTGTAGGGTATTTTTCTGGAATGATGAAAAGTTTTGAAAGTAGAAACCCTGAACGTGAACACACTAAATGCTACTGAATGGTTAAAAAAAAAAAAGAAAAGAAAAGAAAGGAAGAAAGAGAGAGAGAAAGGGAGGTAGGGAGGGAGGCCTGGGGGTCAGCTAGTCGGAGAATGCTTGCTTAGCATCCGTGAGACCCTCTGTTTGATTCCTACACCAAAAAATTAAATTAAATTTAAAAGCCCATAGTCCAGGGGATCAGTATTGTGTCATTCTAGTATGGTTTGTACAAGTCTTTCTGTAATCATATCTGGATCAATAACCTAAACCTGATTGCTAAATGCATGATATACCAGAATTTATTTATTTATTTATATATTATTTATTTTGTGTGCTGGGATCAAACTCAGGCCTCACAAATGTGGAAACACATGCTGTACTCTTGAGCCATGTCCCCAGTCCCAGAATTTCTTTCCTTTTTTTTTTTTTGTGGTGTTGGGAATCGAACTCAGGCCCTTGAATATGCTAGGCAAGTTGCCTACCACTGAGCTGCACCCCAGTCCTCTTTTCTTTTCTTTGAGCTAGTCTCACTATGTAGTCCAAGGCTGGCTTCAAACTCTCAATCCTCTTACCCCAGCCTCCTGAGTGGCTGGGATTATAGCATGCATCACCACACTGAGCTTCAGAATTTATTTTTAGGCAAATGCTCTACCATTGAGCCACATCTCCAGCCCCAGAATTTATTTTTAACTGATGAATATAGTTGCCATTGACTAAACTAAAGAATGTTAAAAATAGGCGCTTCACTGAGGAAAACTGAAAGCATTGTTATGACTTGCCTAGCAGGAGGAATGGCCGGGTTAGATCCCCAGCACTGCCTAAATTAAATAAATAAATAAAAAAAATATATATGTATAGTTACTCAAGATATGCAGTATGTTAGACCGGTTGGAAAGATATCTGAGATGATCTACTTATTAGGAGGAAAGATTCACTGTGGTGCAGCGTTTTGGGGGTTTTGCGGCCCCATTGCATCTGGGCCTGCCATGAGGCAGAGCAACTTGGGAGGAAATGCGGCGTGGGGAATTCCTAGTAAGGCCTGGCGAAGCAGAGAAAGGCAGGGCCAGGGTCCCCAACAGTCATGTCAAGGGCATGCCCCCAGTGACCTCACTTCTCTTTGACTAGGCCCCTACCTCCTGAAGTTTCCACCACTTCCAGATAGTGCCACAGGCCTGGCCACCAACCACCACCACTGGGGACATTCACGATCCCAGCAAAGCTGGTAAACATCCCCCAGAATGGTTTTCTGTTTCTGTTTTTTTTTTGTTTTTGTAGATAGGTCTAACTCCTCACAACTAGAGAAGTGCTGGGATTACAGACAGAGTTACACCATAGCATCCAGCCTCCGAAGGCTTCGTCTTTCTCTCCTCTCTCTCTCTCTTTTTTTTTT